AAAAAAAAGGAAAAAAGAAACAGTAGGCAAAACAAAAAAAATGGTAAATAATAAGAATGAAAGATGAAAAGGTAAATAATACCATAGTCATAGTATTTAACTAGTCTGGAAACGTGAGCCGTTTTCTTTAAACACTTAAGTTCCTCTCTATACTAGTGTTCAGTCTACTTTAGAGTGCATCAAATTGTAAACATTGTATTTCGCTATAGATAAGTTACATATATTCTGGGATAAATATTGAAATGGCATGAACAAATTGTGATTTTTTTGGTTATTCAGTTTTTAGTTAATGTTTTTTATTGCATATATGTTGTATTCCGAATAAAAATGATGAATATAGCATAAAATAAAGACATCAACTGTTGATAAATGTAGTTATGTGACAGAGTTTGTAGTGGTATAAATATGCTTATCAACTTATAGCTTATATCATATAAGCATTTAAGTTATATACTATATGAAAATATGTTATAGATGCAAACATTTCATCGACTGTATAACTAGATGGATGTTTATGGGTATAAATGCTTTGTATTATATTCAGAGTATATTTATTTAAAATGTTAGCTAATAGAGCTTAATAAACTCTATATTTTATATATAGTTTACTTAGCTGAATTATTTGATAATTTAAATATCACTCTTTACACTATGTTGGTTTCTTTTCTGGAAACAAGAAAAAATCAGGTACAATTTAATCATTTTGAATGGTTTCAAAGCTAAATTAGATACTGTTGGTATCTTTAAAGATATGTGTTATACCCTTAACACATCATATTTATCTACCTTAGAGAGAAAATTTTATCTTAATTATTACCTAAATTACATTAAAAATAATGATTTGTTGTTTAATTTTCTACCTTACGAGGAAAAAATTTTTACTTTAAAAGATATAATTTTTTTACCTTGGAAAGTAGAAGATTTTACCTTACTATGTGCATATCACATATTCTACCCTACGGTAGAACTTCTACCTTTTTTACAAGTGCTATACTAACAATAAATTTTGTGCAAAAATGTTTTCTATTTTTATTAATAAGTAAAAAACTTAATCAGTAAAAAAAGTTAGGATTTTAATAAATACTATAAAAATAGCTTGTATATAAATTTTTATTTTTATTATGCTGTATTGCAATTTATATAATAGTAAATAAAAAAATATACTTGATGCAATAAAGATGATGCAAAAGTCTGCTACCAAATATTGCATCACTATCATACATAAATCAAATTTAATTTAATTATAAAAAAAAGTACAGTATATTAAAAGAAGATTACAGAATTCTATTTAAAAATCACAGTGTATTAAATTAAGTTACAAAATTTTATTTCAAATCTTGATTTTAAGCTATAATTTAATATCTATTTTGTTGAATGCAGAAAAATAATATCTCAAAATCTAAGGTTATCTTCAACTAAAATAAGGTATTTCATGTTAATTATCTAGTTTCAAAGTCAGCTGCAGTGTATGATGATATACTTGACTAATTAAATTTCTTAAAAGTTGTTGCTTGTAACTTGGGATGTTTATGCAAATCGCAAGTTGTATAAAATGCCTAATCCACCACATTAAAGTAAGACAACTCGATACTGTCTTATTTAAATATGACTTATCCAACTTAAAACATATGGGAAAAAAAAGATATATGTAAGGATGGTAAGTTTATACAGTGGAACCATATTGCTTATATATTCTATAAAGACAGAGAATGTGGCCTTTGTATTTTACCTAAACTTACTTTTGAGCATACAAAGTTAACAAAATATTTATTAAAAAGCATTAACCTTGCTGCCTAAGTAGTAAGTTTTTGCTGTATTAAAAATTTTATTACATTATGGAATAGCTTATTTGAAAATTATTTCCGACACTAACAATTACTTAGTGCTTGCAAGGGTATCCCATCATTTAATGACTTTCAATAATAACAAAATAAAAATATTTTTAGTAGCTGGAAATGTAATGTATTTAGCTACACGGGTATTATAAAGTTGTAGTAATATAGTATTAAGTCATGCCAAAAAAAAAAAAGATGTTGTTAGAATTGTTCAAAACTAAATATTTTTTATATATGTAAAATAGTAGTGTTGTCATTATTATTTTAAAATTAAAAAGACAATTATATTATTTTTATTGTTCAATCTTTTATTGTTATTTTATTATAAAGTTACTACACCATAAAACTATTAAATATACATGAAGCTTTTATTGTGCTGCTCTAGGAGCAAATTATATACCAATAATATTTTTCAAAAATATGTGGCTATGAAAATAGCCGTTTTAGTAGGTTCAAGTCATCTCACTTTCTCTTTAATGTTCTTGTTCCTAAATAGAGGGTGTTTTTTAATTGATGTTCTTTATATATCAATTTAGTTTGACTTTTTTGAATTTTAAAAGCTTTCAGGTTATATTTTGCAATGTACAATCTACGAACTTGTATGTAAAATGTTAGATAATCACGCATACTTAGCTGCAAGCAAATATGATAAACACTGCTCATTATACAACTTAGACATGTTAGAATTAAAACCAATTGTAAAATTGGTACCAAATTGGAGGTACCAAATTGGAGGCACCAAAAATATTCCCACTAAGTCACATAGAATGTTTTGTTTAGTAATGTAGAGGGATACATGCTTAAATGTTATAATATCATTGATAAAAAAGTTACCAGTTAGATAAACAAAGACAAGATTTGCTACTTCAAAACATGAAAGAAATTATTTTTTCAGAAAAAGTTTTGTAGAATCGATTCTACATAATATTTTCTGAAAAAAACAATTTTTTTCATGTTTTGAAAGCATTCATGTTTTGAATGCTACTTCATATTCTTTCATGTTTTAATCAGGGGTAAAAAGTTTCAGCATTTCAATCAAATGAATCAGTTACATTTTTACTAGGAACTAAGCTGTAATGACTTCTTGAAATAATTGAAATATTTATACTTGATTTTAAACTTTTAATGTCAGTTTGTAGCAAAGTACCATTTATCTGAAACAAGCTTAACTGCAATCTTGATTAAATAATTATAAAATCTAATGGGTTGAAGAATGATCTTTGCTTTCTTTTATTCTTTACTAAATGTTTATCAGTAATCTTGTCCTTGTGCTTGGCATTGAGGTGACAAATCACCGTGTGATATACATCGTTTCTTGCAAAACAAAACTTTGGTTAGGATAAATTAAAATAGGTAGTCTAATGTTTGAACTAAAATTGAGATCTGCCTCCAACAAATAGCAACTCAATAGCAGCTAAACCAGCATCGAATTCATTCAAATTTTCAAAGTCTGCACTACAAAAAGTCATTTTAAAAACATTTGATGCACTCTCAGTCTGGTCACCCCTTAAAGCTCAATTTATTTTACGAAATCTATAGAAAACGGCCTGCGTTTCCAGACTAGTTAAATAGAATGAAGAATGAAGGGTGTCTCTTTGGTCAGTAACAGGGAACTAGCAAAATTATTTAAAATTTCAGAGAATCTCTGAAAACATTAAAAATGACAAGTGGCATCCAATGTTATGCCAGAAAAGGTTTAAAAAATCTACAGAGCTGATAGCCAGCGATTGGCTCACAAGATTATGGTTATGAATGATTATGGTTATGAATTACTACCATCTTTAAAAAAAGATGGTAGTAATTTTCAGTGATGTAACTTTGAAGTAACAAATAGATTCAAAGTTCTTGATAAAAAATTAAAATCTGATTGTTGAGGTTGCAACGTGGCAGTGGGAGTGTTGGTATTTGGGGTTGCATCAGTTTTAATTAAATAGAAGAAGTAAGTAATGTTGAATAACATTATTCAGCTTAAAACAACTAACAAATCTATATAGCTGCATGGTTTTATTAGTAGACATATTAATTAGCTATAAAAGCAGCACGGTTCCATTAGCAGAAATACTGATTAATTAAAATAAATGCTTGCAGTTTCATCAAGATATGGTGCCTGCCTTTACAGCTTTTACAGTCAAAACATGAATAAATGAAAACAAAGTAGATTTTTTGCCTTGGCCAGCTCAATCACTAGATTTGAATCTTACCAAATCTATTTGGACTTCGTAATTAGTCAAGGTATAATAAAAAGATCTATAAATACCCTCAAGGATGAAATTAGACACTATTTTGCAAACCGTTGCAACCAAAATTTGCTACAACTAGTAAATTGATGCAAAATCCTTTAGTTTAGTGTTTATTTTTGTTCTGCCAATTTTGATACATCGCAGTATTTTTATTTTATTTTCGGTATTTTTTGTTATTATGTTTGATAACATTTTAATATACAATTTTATGTTTTAGTATGTCATTTAAGATGCAATAAAAAGTTTGTCCAATATTTTTTTAAGTTTCTATTTTATAATACCTTCAATAAGTTTTAAGTAACAAAACCTTAACCTATTTTAGTCTATAATATATATAATTGAAGTAAAACCAATTAAGTAAAAAGATTTAATAAATTTGTTTCGCTATATATATATATATATATATATATATATATATATATATATATATATATATATATATATATATATATATATATATATATATATATATATATATATATATATATATATATGTATATATATATATATATATATATATATATATATATATATATATATATATATATATATGTATATATATATATATATATATATATATATATATATGTATATATATATATATATATATATATATATATATATATATATATATATATATATATATATATATATATATATATATATATATATATATATATATATATATATATATATATATATATATATATATATATATATATATATATATATATATATATATATATATATATATATATATATATATATATATATATATATAGCGAAACAAATTTATTGAATCTTTTTACTTAATTGGTTTTACTTCAATTATGTTAAGTTTCAATTTCAGTTGAATCTTGACATGAAGTCTATATTCTATGTGTTGTTTTGTTTTGTAAATTTTCTAGCCATATATGATTCTTAGAATGGTTAAAACTATTAACACAGAAGGACCTGTTACCTGTTGTGAGTTTATGCATGATGGGTGTACTGTTGCAGCTGGCACAGCTTCAGGTAAAATTTTTAATGTTATTGTTTTATATATGTTTGAAAGATTGAAGTAGACATATTATTGCTGACCTGATTTTTCCTAATTCTGAGGGTTGTATGTGAAATTGTTATGAAATTATTTATATTAATTTAAAAAAAGTTATAAAAATACACGTGAATTTTTATTATAAAATTATAAAAATATATATAAAAAAAAATAATATATAAAATAAAAAAATATATATATAAAAATATATATAATATATAATATATAAAAAATATATAATATATAAAATATATATATATAATATATAAAATATATAATATATAAAATATATAATATATATAAAATATATAATATATAAAAAATATATAATATATAAAAAAAAATATATATATAAAATAAAAAAAATATATATATATAAAATTATAAAAATACACGTGAAAAAATGAGTAGCACAAAAGTTTAAATGAGTTTTTACAAACAAACAAAAAATGGAAAAAAAAAACTTTTGACATATATTCTTCCCTTGCAGTTTACACCTTGAAAATTAGCTTCACCACTCCAAATGACTTTTAACCAGTCTTCAACAGTGGTCCATGATTGATAGTACGTTGGTAGATTTTATATAGATCATATATATATATGCTTAAAAATTTTTATTTTTAGGTAGATTATACTTATTTGACCTACGACAAGGATCAACACCAGTTAAAGTTGTTACAGCACATAAAACATCTGTACGCTCTGTTTCATTTCAAATGATACCTAAGGAGAAGGTAATTTTAATAAAGTTGTAAATAATACCAAAAAATTACAATAAAATGCTGTTTGATGCTTATTTAAATTAATTTCCAAATAAAGGAAAGTTTGTATTTTTAAAGCTTACAAATCGTCAATATTCTAGCTGCCAGGTGTTTATTCAATAAAGTTATATCATTTAAAATCAAAATGTTAATAGTAAGTTTGCAAGGCTGAGTGTTGCAAGCAGGGAAATAAAATGAGTGCAAGCACAACAGAATAATATTAGTTGGATTATAATGTTAGTTAATAATATTAGTTGGATAGTAATGTTTATTGTTAAGAAACGGTTGGTACAGTTTCATCATCTTTATTCAACAGCAGCAGTACTTTTAGTTTTTGAAAAATAATAAATGTATTATATTTATTAATTTAATACAATAAATATGTGTAAAATTTATATATATATATATATATATATATATATATATATATATATATATATATATATATATATATATATATATATATATATATATACACGTAGTTTTTTTGTGAAGTGAAACTAAAAATAACCCTTTTGTGCAATAAAGTGTCCAAAAGGCCGACTATTGATTTTTATTTGCAGTTCTAACTCTTTTTTTTGAATTCTATAAAAGAAAAGTAACTAAGATAATAAAACTAGTAATGGTGATCTAAAATAAAAAACTTATTTCCAAAGTCACAGTGCCAAAGTTTGTTTTCCACATTTTCTGTTATTAATTAGAACATTAAAACATAAATGTACAAGCGTTTAAATGTATTTAAAAAAATACTCCCAAACTAATAAGTTTTACCGCTTAAACAAAAATATTTTATTTTTAATTTTTTACAAATTTTATTTAAAGTGATCCCTAAGTGCCAACCCAAGTTGTGTTCATATCATAAATAATCCTTAAAAAATAAGTTTCATGTTAGTTAAACTTTCCAGAACAAATTACTTATCAAGATATAAGCAAAAAAATAGTTTTTAATGCTTTTTTATTTCTCAAAAGTATTTTCTGGCTTTTTGATTTTTTTTTTAAAGATATAGTTAAAATACATTTGATTTCATGGTAGATAAAAACAAAATATTTAAATGGAAATAAAAATAATATATTTTTTACAATTTTTAAATTATACAAATATATTTTACAAACATATAGCAATTTATATTTTGTCTTTAAAAAAAAAACAAATAAAAAAAGAAAAAGACTTTTTTTACTTTTTTGTTTATTTTTTCCTTCGCCATATTTAATTTTAATGCTAAAAATAACAACCACCCGAAAAAAAACAAAAAAAAAAACAGTATACAAATTATTTATATTAATAATTTTTTTTTGTTTCTATTTAAAGCTATTTAAATTAATTACGCATAGACTATTCTTATTTATTATATTACTTATATAGACTATTCCTTTTTGTATTTCGTCTAGAGAAAAATAATCAATCTTAAAGCTTAGATGAATTGTACCATGAGATATCTTCATTATGATGGAAAAATTTATAAAATTGAAAATTGAATTAAATTTCTTTTTTCGGTCAATTTTGTTATAAGCTCTTGAAGCTGCTGCTCTGATCTGCTTTGTCCCTTTTAAATTGTCTGATATAAAAACTTATAAATCTCTTTTGATGTTTGTTATTAATAATTTGATCTTACTATTATTATAAGTCATTTAATAATTAAAGTTTTTGTTGTGTTTGCTGAAATGCATATTTTTACATTTATCAATATTGAAATCCATTTATATGTTCATTCTACTAAATTATCAATATTGTTTTGCATAACATTACAGTCTAATAAAAAGTAACCCAGTCCATTAAGCTTGTTATCATCTGCATACAATTTTATAGCGTTATTTTTTCAGGTAAATAGTTTATATAAATCAAAAACAATAATAGATTTAATATAAATGATCCTTGGAATGAGCAAAACTCATGCATCGAGGAGTACCTCGATGCATGAGTTTTGCTTGTGTCTGTTTTTATGAATAGGCAACTCATTCTATTATATACTAATGAGGGTACAGTTCTAAAACTCAGTTTTATGGTTCTGAGGCCATGGTAGTCAGGTTTCCCAAAATCTGTGATAGCCCTCAGTGAAGTTGATTCTATCAACAGCTGTAAAATATCTAACTAACAGTGCTGTGTGCCACATAGATGGTTCCTTTTTCGTTGGTGGTGTTCCATGAAGTTCATGGATAGTGTCCCTGTACTTTTGATGTGGATTGTCGTGGCAGCATTTGGATCCCTATCTATTTGTCCAAGCAATTACTTCATTACTATTAATAAACCCTGCACAGTAGCAAAGTGTACTGAGTAGTATAAGTACTTTGAGGAAAGTTCCTTAACCTATTTAAAAAATGACTAAATTATCAAAAACTATAAAACATAAAAAACCATCATTATTAAAAAGTTCTCTAGATCTATATCTTTCTTCTGTTGAGTTCTTTTGCAAAGTTCACCAGACCTACTTTTTCTTTGTGAGACCAATTTGAGTTCAGCTGTCTCATTTTTGATCATAGTATTAATAGTTATTTTCCTTTAATTTGTAAAGACTCCAATAGTCTTATGCTTGGCCTGGGCATTTATATTCGTAAGAATTCACCCAATTTTGAATCCGCAGACTATGTTTTTATTTGCTTTCCTTTAGTACAACTTTTCTCTATCATCTTTCTCTTTATCACTGTCCTTCATATGTTTTCTATATCACTCTCCTTCATATAAAGACTGCACTCATAAAGGTTGCTGACCCATACCAAACCCTCAGTCGATGTAGCAGCACTCCACTGCGAGTCAGGCTATTTGTCAGTCGATGTACTGAAGCCCCCAGCAGTAGGCTATTTGACGTTAGGTGAGTATGACATCATCATGCTCACCTAACTCAGCAGTATAAGATATATGTATATATATATATATATATATATATATATATATATATATATATATATATATATATATATATATATATATATATATATATATGTATGTACACATATACATACATACATATATATATAAGTCTTTCACAGGAAGATGTGTAATCACACACAATTATATGACTACGCAAAAAATAATTTGTTTTAACGATTTGACCATGGCTTTTGAAATATTTTCAAAATTTAAAAATGCGCTACAAAAACTTACTTTAACTTATTTAAAAAAAAAACATATATATATATATATATATATATATATAATATATATATATATATATATATATATATATATATAACCCAACTAAAACAAAACTCATCAAACTAAAATGCTTAGTCTATTTAATTTACATATTAAAAAACCATTTCATTCTTTTTTTTAACATTTATACTTTTTTTTTTTTAATAAGTTTAAAAATAACAATTTATTATAAAAAATTATATCAGGGCTGTGGAGTCGGAGTCAGAGTCGCAACATTTTTAGCAGAGTCGGAGTGGCTAAACAAAATTGCGACTCCGACTCCAATAGTAAAACTTCTCGGTATTGTACAAAACATACAATTAACCTTATATTCATACTAAACCTCAAAAAACATTTCATAAATTAAAAAAAAAATTTTTTTAATCTTTTTGCCTAATATTTTTAAAGAATTTAAAAAGTATTTCAAAAATTTTGCTCTGGAGTTGTAGTCAGAGTTGGAGTTGGAATCAGAGTCGGAGTTGTACTTAAAAAATTTCTTTAACTGGAGTCGGAGTCTTTACTTTTTTACGACTCCACACCCTTGAATTATATAAGTAAAAAAAAAACAGTTTTTGATACTTATCATAAAAATTTATTAGAAGTGTTTTGTTACTTCATTAAAAAGTTTTTCGATAATATAAAAGCATTTAAGATCAAACTTGTTTAATTGTAACAGCTTTTTGAAACATTTATCTTTTTTTTTTTCAATGAAATTTTGTTTTGTATTAACTTTAATTATTCTTATACATAAATATAGAATATCATCGTTTATAAAAACAAAACAATTTTTTATTTTTTAATAATGTTTGATTTAAAAAATGCACTCTTAAACAATTTATTATAAATTAAAAATATATATATATATAACTGTCAATAACACTTAACATGTAGTTTAATAAAAAGACGTGCGATCACACGTCTTCCTGTGAAACACTGATATATATATATATATATATATATATATATATATATATATATATATATATATATATATACACTGCGACCATTTTCTATAGGCGCATGTGAATTATGTCTTAAAATTGTACTTAACTTTATTTTTATAGTGTATTTCAATAAATTATAAATAAAGTATTAAAAAATAATGAAAATTATCAAAAAATAATATCAAATTTGAAAAGAGGTCAATCATAAATGAATTAAATTCAAAAGATAGCTGACTATTTTCTATAGACGCAGATCACATTTTTTAACTAAACTATTAAAAAAAAAATGTTTTTATCACATTTTTAGTACTCGATTGGACTTCCTTTGCGCTCAATTACTTGGTAAATTCGTTTTGGCATACTTCCCACCAAGTTTTCCAGCACTTTTGGCTCCATATCCTCCCAGCATTTTGATACCGCTACTTTTAGCTTTTACTTTTAGTTGGAAAACAAACTTTTTGCGTCGATATTTGTTTTTAAATGGAATCAAACATGATTTTAGCACATCAATGTATTCAGAACTTTTCATTTTGCAAGATGTAAAGGCTAAATTTAACTTTCCTGTTGCACAAAACCCAAGCCAAACCATTAAAGATCCACCACCGAAATTCCTTGTTAAAAAATATTTGGGTTCTCTCCTCAAATCAGGCCAGTAGCCACTAAAACCATCAGGCCCATTAAGATTAAACTTTTTCTCGTCCGAAAAAATCACCTGGTATTGAAAACAAAAATATTCAGCTATTTAGACATCTTACGTGTTCATGAGAATTTAATCTAAAATTTCTTACTTGTTTACAATCGCGTGCTATGTTTTCGCGGCGAATTCCATCTGTTTCTGTTTGTGAACGGGCTTCAAACTTAATGCTTTATTCATTTTTGATCGTACAATGTGTGGGCTGTCTTTAAGAACTTTCCTAATCGTCTCCTTGCAAACATTTAAACCCAAAAATGACTTAATTGTTTTCAAACTTTTTGATGAATTTGATGCGAGTTGAACAATTCTGCGTTTTTCACGACTTAAAACCTTAGATTTCTTTGGTTTCCTCTTGATTGTTGCATAATCTGCTGGATTTTTCAAGAAATTACAGATAACGTGATCTGATCTCTTCAATCTTCTAGCAATTTCTCGATTTGGAACTTTTTCTCAATGAAAAGCCAATATTTGACCTTTTTCAATATCGGTAAGGACCTTTCCTTTCGGCATTTGGTTTAGTTCAACTTAATTTCGACTCACAAAATAAAAAACACCACAGAATATAAGAAATTTGCAAAAAAACTCGTAAAAACTTTAGTGGGTCTATAGAAAATTGCCACGTGAATATTAAAAATTTAATTATTTTAATACAATCAAAACAATTGATAATCAGATGCATAATGGATCATCGTTTTCTTACGTATACTTATTTAAAAGTACCACTTTAAAATTTTATTACCACTGTAACACTGTAAATCCGCTAAATTCTACATGCGTCTATAGAAAATGGTTGCAGTGTATATATCAGCCAATAGTTATTGGTGCTCATCACACTGAATGGCTTAGTTCTAGTGTCAGTGAGTCAGAAGGCTTTCTCATTCTCTATAACAAATAGTCAACTTTCCAACTCACTTTCCAGACAATTCGAATCATTAACCCTGTGTCTTGTGTCAAGACTTATGTCTTTTTTCTGATCCTAGTCAGGTTCAACTAGTTTCAGAGAGATCACAGTTTGATCTCTCTCAAACTTTTATCTTATTCTTTTGCACCGTCATCATCATGATCATCCTTTTATCTTATTCTTTTTCACCATCATCATCATCATCATATTGTTGTACCTTATACAACTACCTTAATGCTGACTTGGACTCTTTGCATGATTTTCTTCTTTCTGTAGTTTTCTTTGTGATGGCCCTTGGGTAGAAATCTTTCATCTTTCTGCTGATAAATGTCCTTTTTATGTAACTTCTTAGATTCAGGCTGGCATGGAATCTTTATTTGCTTTCAACGATTCCAAGTCAAGCCTTACTGGTCTCCCTGGTTTTCTTCATTTCTTTTCTGCAATTTCTAATTGTAACCATTACTTCCATATCTATCGCAAAAACAATTCTTTAGAAAACTAAAGTCTGTTTACCATTGCTAGAGACCACTGTAAAAAAATGTCTAATGCCTAAGCCTGCTATTCTTAGGTCACAAAATCTTTTCTGATTTCTGACACTTCAGGCTTCTGGAGAATTTTTAACAGTGTCTATAATAAGGGAAAATCTGCTATTTCACCTCTCTTGCATGGTTCAGATTTTGTTACCTTACCTAAAGGCAAAGCTGAATTGTTTGCTAAGAACTTTTCATCAATCTCATCCCTGAATTCCACTAATCACATTCTACCTGATGTAGCAGACTATCAAATTGATTCATAGCTTGGCATTCAAATCACTTCAGCTTCTGTATCTAAAGTGATTTCCTGCTTAGACTCTTCTACAACTTGTGGTCCAGACAAGATAACTGTTATAATCTTGCAGTAGTATTCTCTGAAACTGTTGTCTATACTTTCAAAACTATTTATCAAGTGCTTATCAGAGTCTTGTTTTTCAGTCTGCTAGAAAGTGACATCCCTATTTTCAAAAATTCTTGAGAGCAATTTGAGTTGTCTAACTACCATCCCATTAGTCTTCATTCTATCGTAAACAAAGTTTTTGAGACTTTAATAAACAAACACCTAATCTCTTATATTAAATCTAATAACCTACTTTCTGATCATCAATTTGGATTTGGATCTTCTGGTTTCACTGATTTATTAACCATAACTGTTGGGTAAACAAATTTAAATTTATAATAGTTAATAAAGGTTAGTTAGAAAACATTCATATGGTTAAATTTAAAAAAATCCCGCAGTCCCAACAATTTTTATGAGTAAGGACTCCAGACTCTGACTTTGTATCCCTGGACAAAAAGTAAAGACAAAGCTTTAATGTTTATAAATAGTCATTATTAATAAATAGTAGTAAGTACAAAACTGAAAATATTTTTTAAGTTATTAAATATTTTATAAATAATTAAGTTGTTTAATATTGAAGTTATTAAATATTACTATTGTTTATTTTTTTATTATACTTTCTGCTTTTATAAATTATTAGTTGTTTTTTAGTCTCCAAATCGAATAGCTGCTGATAACAATTCTTTAGGAAGAGTTGAAGGCATGAGTCAAAAAGAAAATTCCTTGGAAGTTACAAATAATACTCAACAGCCTTCAGACGGATCAACTTCTCAAATTAATAATACGCCTACTTACACCACTATGAATAATATTCAAAATAATGCAAGCTCATTGAATCAGAGAGAAAACACATCAAATTCAATGGTTCAGAGAGAAAATAGCACAGTGAATTTAAATAATATGTTAAACTTAAATAAAGTAGCCAACCTGAAAGTACCCCAGGGCAATACTGCTGCAACACCTATGAAAGCAGCAAAACTTAATAGTGATGACATTTTCTCACCTATTCCTATCGGTAAGATTATTAAAAAAAATTTAATTGCTGGTCAAATTGATTTACTAATTAATGATTTTTAACATAATCAATTCTTGTTAAAGTTGAATTTTATATATATTATGACAAATTTAAGTAACACAATAGTCAAGACAGATATAAAAAGTTAATATTAGTGAATATTTTTTAAAATCAATGTAAAAATTTAAGTTGTTATTTTACATCACAAGTATTTTACAAGTTTTTTTTAATTTTCGTTTTTTGTTTTTTCAGTGCGATACTCTTTTTTTTTTTGATATTCAACTTGATATTTTAATACATATATAAGTAATTGAAAATAATTTTAAAAAAATAAATTATTTAAAATTTTTTACAAGTTAGATATTTATTAATCTACATTTACTTCTTTTAGAATCAGAAATTATAAATTTTTATATTTAAAAATTAAAATTTTCCTTATAGTTCTATTTAACTATTAGCGGTTATGTTTTAAAAGGTTTTATTTTATGTTTGCATAAGATTCTAAATTTCCATTAATTTTCTAAAACATGGTAGGTCATAAATCAGTTTAAAAAATACTGTGAAACTTGCAGAAATACTGAAAGCTTGCAGAAACAGTGAAAGTGGAAGAAAAACTGTCTTTCCGTTATAGCAATATAAAAAAAGTGTTTTATCCAGAAGTTTGTTAGCACCGCAATGCTGATAAGTTTGATTCATTTTTCAGAAATAATTGTTATTTAGAATTAATCAATCATATATTTCTGATTAAGGTCTAACAATCAAGAATATTTACAAATAGTTTGAAACTAATTTAAAGTAAAAACCTGATAAATAAAAAATAGAATAGTGTTACTTCATTCTAACAAAAACATCTACTTTGTATTGCACCGTTTTGTACATTTCGTAGATGATTAATTTTATCTTTTATTTTAGTAAAAAAAGAATCCAAAAGTTCAAATGCAATTTCTTAAACTAATCTAATAATATGACCTTTATGAATATTGACATGTACCATCAAGTTTTGAGTTTTAATCTCAAAGTTGTATCTCTTGTAATTTCAAATATTTATTTTTTTATTTTTATTTTTTAAACACTATTAGTCCCTAAATAAAAAATAAAAAAATCTGCCTTTCTGTTTGGTTTGTTATCTTGCTAATTTATGTCATAATTTAATAATCCACCAAAATCTGCATTTAAAACAGCTTAATTGAAAAAAAAATTAATTCAAAAAAAATTTATTGTGAAAGAGTTGCTACAAACAGAAAGAGTTAAGCTATTTGACATAACCTAGGGACCCTTTACCTGTTTTCTGGGTCTTCTTAGGGACCTGTTTTCTGGATCATTTTTTTGTTTTACCTGTTTTCTGGGTCTTCTTTTTGCTTTGTAACTAACTATAGTCTAAATGAGAGAGTTGAAATTTTTCTATAGTTTTAAATTTTGAAAAACATCGAGAGAAATGTCTTGTTAAAATAATCTGTTAAATAAATCTGCCCATCTAGCGCAGTAAAGAGACAAATTTTTTTCTTAAAGTAACTAAATTACTGTTTACTGTTTATTAAGAAATAAAGGTAGATAAGAAATAAGTATAGAAATAATCTTGTACCAAGACCTTTGTTTTGTATATATATATATATATATATATATATATATATATATATATATATATATATATATATATATATATATATATATATATATATATATATATATATATATATATATATATATATATATATATAACCTAATTAGTTATAATATTAATATATATTTTACATAGTTAAGTGGGCATTGGGGAATGCCAACATAAAATTGTTTGAGGTTGGCAATTTTTTGCTGATCTTGTTTCTATGTTTTATGGTAACCTCTTCATCTAAAATTTTTGTAATTTAATAATAAATTTTGTCAACCTGATGCCGATCTCTAACAGTTAGAGGTCAGCTATTTATTGCCGACCTCTTCCTAATTCAGAGGGCCTTATATATATACCAGTTGTTAAAAGTTTGAAATCACCTTAAAAATTTATTGATATTTGACTTGACACCAAACCTTAGGGGATTGATTAACAAAAAACCCTGTAGTTTCTTAGGGTGTTTAGTTTTACCATTCTAGTTGCTTAGCATTAAAATATTGCTCGCATTTTCATATTATGGGAAAAATTAAATAATTATCTGAGTTAAAATGTCAAAGTATCAGAACATTAAAATAAATCATCTAGAGAACTTTCAAAGCAAAAGTGTAGTTGTGTGTAAATTAGACACTTAAAGATATAAAGTTTTCGGGAGATGAAGGGAACCTTTTCGGGAGATGTAAGGAATCTTTTTTTCTCACAGAGGCGAAGCTGTAGATCAAAGAAAACAACTGACAGATTGGTGAGATATGTGAGTTATGTTTTTTAAAAAAAATCCCAAACTTTCACCATATGGAATCAAAGAAGAATATAACATGAAAATGCTCTTTATGTAAGTGCAAGATTAATGCATGTTTTGCAAGTTAAAAGTCAACAACCACCATAAAAAAGCCCAGCTCAACAACCACCATAAAAAAGCCCAGATCAACAACCACCATAAAAAAGCCTGTTTGAATGACAAACAATGCTAGAAAAGATTAGAACTTTGAAAAAAATGTAAATATCAGACAATGAAAGACTGGGAAAAAATAATGTTTTTAGATGAAATTAAATTCCAACAATTTGTTACATCATGCAACTATATGAGAAGACAAGAAGGGCTAAGGTATGTCCAAAAGTACACTGTGTCTACTTTAAAACACCCACCTTCTACAATTGTATAGTTTTTTTTTCACAAATTAATAGTTGGTTACATTTTATGTTGAAAAGCAAAACCAATAAATCTTACATGTATTTGGAAGTTCCCTGTATGTCATCTCACAAAACAACAATCTTCCAACAGGACAACATACCCTGCCACACTTCCAAGGCAATGAGAGCCTTTTTAATAAGAACAAGATTCGTATATTTGACCGGGGAAGAAACAAGCCCTAGTTTTGTATGATATCCATATTTTTGGATAGTTTACTTAATAAGTGCATTCTTAGTACTTCTTATTCAGATGTGCAGTTTAAATACTATAATGTACTATATATATTTACTTTATTATATATTTTATTTCTTAAAATTGCTAGGTGATAGCATTATAGCACAAGTGTAAAATAAAAATTGAATGACAAAAATTTAATGAAGGGTTGAATAAAAAGTTAATTATTTTTTTATCCGAAGAATAACATTTTACTTTTTTTATAAAAATGGATGAAAATTAACATTTAACAATTACATTTAAATTTAACATGTATTAAAGTTCACTTAAATTAATGCAGAAAAATAAGCTGATCAAAATTATAGCTAATTTTAGATAAAACTAGTTTTAGATATAACTAATTTTAGATAAAAAATTTTAGATATAGCTAATTTTAGATATAACTAATTTTAGATAAAAAAAAACATTAGAATTTGATTTAATATGAAGTAAAGTTGGATCCTTTAGCTTTAAAAATTTGAGAAAATCGATCTGGAACAGAATTAACCAATTTAATGTAAAGATCAATTGAAATCTTGTCCCAAATTTCTCAAATTACATCTTTTAAGTCATTTGTGTTGCTTATGTTGTAATTTTTGAGTTTTGGTCAATAATTGACTTGATTTTCAATCGGATTTGCATCTGGAGAAGTGGCTGGCCATTCTAGGAGATAAATATGCTTCGTTGCAAACAATTCCAGAATTTTTTTTTCATTTGTGACGTTGTCTTGAATAAAATAACAATCTTCAGCTTCAAAATCAAAAAAAGTCTCCATATAGTCAGGTAATTCAGGAATAACTTATAAATAACGAGAAGTATTCAAACGACCTTCATAAAACCTCAATAAATCTATTTCATTTGCAGAAAAACATTCCCATACAGAAATAGTTCCACCACCACCTTGACTCTTGTATGACAGACACTCTTCTTTTAAGCATCTTCACTTTTCTTGGATGTATCCCTTGTGTGTCTTCTTTTGTTGTGCAATATCCTACTTTTCCTTTTGTTGAAACCTGCAGTTCATAAAACTCCCTGTCTTCTCTGCTCAATCATTTTCCTTTCTCATCTGTTACATTAAACAATTTACTAAAATCATTGTTTCCAGGTCTTCGAGCATGCTTTTCATAATTTTTTATTACATTCTCAACTTTTCATGCAACCGTAGATCTACATTGTTGAATTACCAGATTCAAATTATTTCGAAGGCCTTTCACTTCATCTTCACATAAATGTATCATTACAATTCGCTCTTTTCTATATTTTACATCAGAAGCCAGATTTTCAAATTTGTTAAAGATATTCTGCTCCATTGGAATTCTTTGCATCTGATCAAGACTGTCAATGGTAGTATACTTTCTTGACTTTTTCCACTTTTGAAATTGCATTAGATTGAAATATATTAGATCTCCTTATTCTTCTCTGAAGGATGCACATTTTTAGACATTGCAGCTCCAAAGTTGTAATTCTCCAGATAGTAAACAATCAGTTAGATGCTGTGTTGGTACCAAAAGAAACAAGTTATTGGAATCTAAATATTAGATTACTAATAGATATGAAATTTATTAGATAAAAAATAGTTATAGGAACTTAGAGTAACGTACTTAACAAGATCTTGTAACATTCATATTCAGTAAATAGAGAGCTACAAACAATTTAAATGTTAAAATGTTACCCTCCAAACAGACTTTATTTACTTGTAGGTTATTTGTTATTATAGAACAATTATTATTGCATTATTTCTAATTATATTGAATTATTATATTAACAAATTTTACAAAGCATTTGGATAAAGCAGCCTATGTGTAAAATTAAAATCAGTTTGGAGGGTGACTTTTTTTTCAAGCTTAAAATTTTTTAATGATATATTCTTGAAAGAAATTATATAATGTCCACTCATAACAATAGGAGCAATAAAAAATTCCAAATATATTTTTCTAGTCATATATATATATATATATAAATATATATATATATATATATATATATATATATATATATATATATATATATATATATATATATATATATATATATATATATATATATATATATATATGGGTGTGCTAATTTTTACTTTTTACAGACATTTGATGAGGGCTAGTATTTTTTTTTTTATTTTAATTCAATATGAAATTTTTTTTTTAATTTTAATCTGCTTTTTTTTTTTTACCCCTAAACTATTATTATTTTGGAATTTTTAATCTTGAAACTGAAGTTTGCCATAATATTGCATTTATTTACCGAACCATTTAGTACACTAAAATTTAACTCAGTATGCAATTCAAAATTTAGTTTAACAAACAATCTGTAAGGAATAATTTTATTTTAAATATAATCTCTCTTTTTTGCAATGTTTATATATTTTTTGAACTATATAGGAATGGTGAATTAAAGTTATTTGTTATTAACTGTGTGTTTTACAAGTTAAAAATTGTTCAATTTATAATGCTTTGTTATTAAATTTTAATACTTTTAAAAACCTTATTATATACATGTATACAGGCCTCGGCGGGAATAAATGAGCACAAGAGTGATGAAAAGCTCTCCTAAAACAAACTTGGGGGAGCTGTGCGAGCTGCTCCTCATTCAAATTGAGGTTCAATTTTAATTTTTTTTTGCAACAATTGTGTCTTTTAAAAAGCATTGCAGTATATTATGCAATTAATTTTTTTTTAATGACATTGTTTTTTATTTTAAACAACGATAATTATACTTTTGAAATGAAAATTATACTTTTGCGAGAACTGTAAATTGCTCCCGTAAATCGTTTTAGGGGAGTGTGGGCGAGAGCTAAAGTTATCAAGAGCTAAACTTATTAGTCAGCTTAGTTATTAGAAAAAAGTTTCTTCCTTCAGAACTTTCAACTTTCAGAGATATTCTCAAGTATGGCTTATATTTATAAGAGATCAGTGATAAAGATGAGTGATGAAGATCAGTGAGAAAGACACTATATAGGTAATCAGCTTGTAAAGGATTTTATTAAAGGAATTTTGTTAAGGTGAAGAAAAGTTAATTCTCAAGCAAGGACCGCACGCGCTTCCCAGCAAGACTTGATATATACGTACACACACACACACACAAGTTTTGAAATTCACAATTTTGTGCACAGAGTTAGATAGATAGTTTGCTAAATGGTTTGGTAAATAAATGCTATCTTTCTTGGAGATTACATCAAACTTCAGTTTCAATAATAAAAAGTCCAAAGAAGTAGTTTTAGAGTAAAAAAAAAAGCTTTTTTTTTTTTGATGTATTACATACAAATTTAAAAGAAAAAAATACTAGCCATCATCAAATTTCCAGAAAAAGTGAAAATCAACACACCCTAATATATATACGCTTACAATTGATAAATTAGTGACAAAAATTTTTAATAGATGTTAATATTCGTAAAGCTGCAGTTAGTCGTCAAAAATCAACTCCAAAAGTTAATTCATTTTTAGCAGAAACTAATGTGACAAGTAGTGAGGTTTTCTTTTTTCTTTTTTTTTTTTTAATTTTATTATTGAATAATTTATAAACATTTCTTTTTATTATACTTTATAAATTATTACTAATTCTTTTTTATGCCAGATTTTTAAATAATAAAAATTTGATATTTAAAAATAGTTAAAGTTTATTATTGCTAATATATATCTACAGGCTTACTACAATTATATGTATATGTATATATGTATGTAAATTATTAAAAATAATTATCTAGTTTTTATTCTTTGACAGCTTGTTTCTCCATCAGTAGATTCATTAGGAAGCTTCCTGATGAGCCTACTGATGGAGAAACAAGCTGTTGAAGAATAAAAACTAGATAAGTGTTTTTACTAATTTTCTATTGCTCTGTTCTTTAAGAACATTAAGCACTCTATTTGTAGAATACACTAACATAATTTGTATATGTATGTATGTATTTATATATGTATATATCATACCATATTTATAAGTAAAATTATGGTTTTTTACTTTAAAACCTCCCATTAAAATAGGAAATGCGGCCTACCTACTTGCGAAGTAAATCTAGTTTCTCAAAATTTTCTTCTGTTGCAAGAAGCACTGATGATTTGAGTTATATCCAAAAAAAAGGAAGGGAAAAAGATGGCGATAAAGACTCAATAGACAGTGGAAAACGTGGAATTCTTGGCTTCAAATCACCATTCAAAAAAAAACATGTCAAACATTCAGATGAATCAGAAACAAGCTCCATTGAGTCATTTGACCAAAATGGCAAATCACCAATGGCAGGTCGTAGAGATAAAAATGAGCAAAAGAGTGATCGTTCTATCGATTCTTTTACAAGTTTAAAGATTTCAAATGCTTCTGAACAACTTTATAATGTTACTAAGATTGATACCAATCAGTTTGCATCAGACATTCAACATTCATTGGCAATGCAGGTATCTGAGAAGTTTTTTTTTTTACATTTTTTTATAGTTTTCAATTAACATACAAACTTCAATAATCATATAAATACTTGTTTTAATCAATTTCAACTTAAACACTTTTTGTTTGCGCAAACATTATTTAATTTTTGTTTCAATCAAAAACTTTTGCTTTCTAATCATTTTTCTATTATCATTTGTTAGTAAGTTCCAATTATATTCCTCATTTATTTGCCTTTTATAATAAAAGCGAAATCATAGTTGAAAAGTGAAAAAAAAAAATTATATAATTATATAATATGTGTATATATATATAAATCTGTATAATGTATATATATATATATATATATATATATATATATATACATATATATATATATATATATATATATATATATATATATATATATATATATATATATATATATATATATATATATATATATATATATATATAAAATGTACTGTAGATACGCAGTATTATCCAATACTAGTTACGCAGTTTTGCACTATCCCTGACGATATGTATGTGTATATATATATATACACATATATATGCTTATTTTTCTCCCCCAAAGCCATGAAGGCCACTACAGTCAGGGAGGCTGCTTATATTATGATTACAACCCTCTCTAAACTCTTTAACTCCAAAACATGAACATTGACAAACAAGGCCGCTGCACGGAGAAACAAGTGCTGTACTACCAGGGATGTGGGATCAAACTCAGGGATGTGGGATAGGGATCGAACTCGAAACTTCCTGCTAAATGTTATATTATATTATATTTTAGATAACTAGTCCTAACCACCCAGCTGAAGTGAATGACTATCATTCTTCCTTTCAAATAGAGCTAATTAAAAGCATGATTGATGATGCAATGGAAGAAAGCAGGTTTTACAAATAGTTTGTTTATTTGTTTAATTAAAAAATAATAATCAAATAAAGTTGAAATATTAATTCAAATATTTATGAGAAAAAAAGTAAATTGAAAAATGATAAAGAAAATAATAGTGATAAAAAAAATAATAAAGATGAGATAATAAGATTTTGTTATTGCCAGAGTGACTAGGAACTAGGTTGCAGTTTTAGTTTTATATTATGTTTGTTTTATAAGAAAGCAATTTGGTTTGCATTCTTAGCATTTTTTAGTGATTCCCAGCATTTTTTGTTTCATATTTCAGAGATTCTTTTTGTATATAGAGGTCAAACAAAAAAATACATATGTTGTTTAATTTGAGTAAACAGCACATTGGACTACAAAGCGCAGCTGGTGGTTAAAATAGTGGGTGGTTAAAATAGTGGGTGGTTAAAATAGTGGGTCTAAGGAATTTTGTGTTTAATATACTGTTGCAGTAGCGCTTTATCACTTTTATGTCATAAATTAACACTGGCTCCAACATAGCACTGGGTTAATATTCAATAAAAATATATCTTTTTTTTCTTGTGTTAATTGTCAAACTTTCTGCAGCTTAAATGTTTCTGCAATACATAATAAACATTCAAAAATTGTTTCCTTAAGATCAAGGAATCTTATTAAAATGGTAAGATTTTCAATTTCATATACATCTCTTGATCTTTTGCACATAATTGGTCTTCTAATGCTTACTAGATTTTCCAATCAATGTTTAATTGTAAATTCAAGGTGACATGTCTGAAGCGTTTGCAGAAATACTTTTTCTACAATGAGTTTTTTTTATAAGAAATTTTATAAAAAGTTAAACCACTTGTCTACTTTAAGTTAACAACTAAACCGCCTGTTTTTTTTAGTTCTGAAGGATCATAAAAAACTAAAAATTTTTAAAACATTTTATATCATGTTTACCATCTATCGATTTGATGTTAAGAAGAAGTTAATTTTATGCTTTAACTTTTTATAAAAAACTTGTTCGGTGTTAGGTGTCATTGTTTTAATGCAAACATAATTTAGATGGGCAATTTTGTATTATTGAAATAGCGTTACATCAAAATGATGCTAAATCTTTTTTTTTGTAAGCATGTAAACACTTTAAACCTGACACAGCATCACTGAATAAACTTTAGGTTTAAAAAAAATTGTACAGAAAAACTGTTTACATATATTGTTAACTTTATGGCTGGCTACTCCAAAAATATATTCCAAAAAATTGTAACATTCCGTTCTGATGAAATATGGCATTTTACAAAAAACAAAAAAAAAACGATTTTTAGAGTAATTTTTAAATGCTAAATTTACGTATATTGAAAAACTTTAAATGTTTATAACTTTATTATATGATTATTTCAAATCATTTATTGAAAACACTGTATTCTATGTTATTTATTTATTTAAAATTATATAACAAGATATTTCATAAATAATATAAAATCCAAACTTAAAAACCTGCTTAAATAAAATGCCAAACTATTCTCTATTGCATTCTAAAGCAAGACAAAAAGTATGCTCAATATGCTACAGAAAATTGGTAACCTTACTTAGTCCTCCATTAATTAATTTTATAAAGATCTTTTTATCTTTTGAATACAACTTCAATGATCCAATATTTGCATCTGGAATTTGCTCGACATGTAAAACACTTCTTCATCAGCATGCTCACCCTTATACTGCCCCACAAACTAGATGGTTTCAAATTCATAAAGTTACTCCAACAGGTGTGGTCTTGGAGACTGTTACTAGGAGATAAGGGTTTTGCTTGTGTTTTATATATTTAGTTGCTAAAAGAAAAGAAGCCAACATAAAACCACATATAGGAAGACCAGGGCAAGTTTTATTCAAGTATATATGTATATATATTTTTTTTAATTAAAAATAATTAGATTTTATAATAAAATAAAAACCATTTATTAATTCAGATTAAAACCACCTGCATCTCAAATCTGAAGATTTGCAAAAAAAGATCATTGAGAAAAAAGAAAATTCAACCTCACGATGCTTTGGTAGTTTTTACATAATGGTTTAGTAATTCATACAGTCACATTTTTTTGTTTTTAATTTAAAAACCTGTTTTAGGTTAAAGTGTTTGCTGCTAGTAGAGGTACTATTTATAAAATATGTCTCGGCATCATAAACATTTCAAACTATAAAAAAGATGCTTAAATAAAATGGTATTAATCCTGATTTGGCAAAAGAGATATCAGTAAATAAAACCTTATCAATTGGATTTTTAAATCTGAACTTTAAATCAGCAGATTTATATGATATCTCTGATAGCTATCAGAGATATCATATAAATCTGCTGATTTAAAGTTGCTTATCATAATTCTGGGAGTACAAAGCCTTAATAAATAAAATTTTCCATTTAAACATTTATTATATTATTGTACATCATGCTAATTTAGGGCAAGGCCGGTGTGATGGGGTGTGTGGGGGGTGTGACACCCCCATCAATTATTTTTTCCTTCATTAAGTCGGCAAATTTGACCTTTTTTGAGTAGTCAGTTGGCAAATGTTGACCCTTTCAACAAGTTAGCTGGTAAACTCAGAGAGTCAGTTGGCAAATGTCGAGAAGGCAGTCAGCAATTCCTTTTCTCAATGATCTTTTTTTGCAAATCTTCAGATTTTCAAAATTAAGGACCTTTTTTTTTAGTCGGCAAAAGTTGAAAAATAATAAGGAAAATAATAGTGATAAAAAAAATAAACACAAAAAAATTGACACCTACTTGCGCTGGCTCTGATTTTGGGTTTACACATTAGGTAAAAAACACTCCTTTTGTTTTTGCAATAAGAGTTCTTACATGGAAGATTTTTTGTTTGTATCTGAAGAAGTTAGAACTCTTGGATCAATCAATGAAAGCAATTTAGCCTGGATAGCAGCTGGGAAAAAGAATTCGAAGCTAAAAGACATTAACAACTGCAAGGATTTTTCATTGCTAGTGGGAGATAATTCAACCAGGATTCTAGACATTTGCAGCATTCCAGAATTACACATTTTTATTGTAAATGTTTTTAAAACTTTCTGTAAAATATCTATAATAAAAACTATTTTGCATAATGAATATGAAATCGGTAAAACTATACCTTTAAAATAATATTCTATATTTTAAATTTTTATTCAAAGTTATTGATATTATTAGGGCTGTGTCAACATTATCTGGAATGAATAAGTTCAAAGCTGGGGAGTTAACAAATAAACACCTTTTTTTAAAAAAACATGGTCGTTTTAAAAGCAAAGTATCATGGAGGGGAATTTGAAGGTTATTATATTATTTGAAAATAAAATTTGACTTGTTAATAAATTGTTGAATTAGACATATTTTTTACTTAAAATAAAAGGACCCCAGTGTAAAAGGCTACTCAAACTATCCAAAGAACTAAGAGAAAATTTTTTAGATAATCTTTGTGGGTTTTGTGATGCTTTGGATTCTCTTAATGTGGTATTTCAGTCAACATTTGGAAAAAATTTAGCAATTGGTTTTGATACTAATATAAAAAATTTTGAACATTGTTTTTGCGCTTTAAAACAATTAAGTCAACAAAACTTCATATCTTGTTCAGCCATATAACATAACAGTGAGCAAGCAGGAGAGTCTCTTCATTCAAAATTTTCAGAAGTATAAAGGTACAGGTTACCCAAAGACTATCATCACGATTCATACAAGAAAAAATTTATGGGTTTTATTTTGACATATAATAATAAAAGGATATAACTGTAAAATGATATATTATGAAACTGTTTAGATTGTTATTAAGAATAGTTATTAATATTGTTAATTTATTATTAAACTCACTAATAATAATAACAAAATCTATGCAAATATATGCATAATAATGTTGTTTTTTGTAGAATATCATATTTCATCAGGACAGAGTGTTATAATTTTTTGGTATATAATTTTGGAGTTGCCAGATATAAAGCTAACAATATATGTAAACAGTTTTTCTGTACAATTTTTTTCAATCTAAAGTTCATTCAGCGACACTGTGCTGATGTTATTAAATAGTTATAATTATTTTTAAGCATTATTTCTTTATTTTCAATTGTTCAGTTTAGTTTATTGAGCATTTAGTTAATTACTTCTGATTTGTTTAGAATCAGGTGTAAAAAGATAAAACGTGAACGTGAAAAACACTCATTTATATACATATATTTTAATTACATTATCTTTTATTCTAGAAATAAAAATGTCTACTTGAAAATAATAGTTTTCAAATCTTTCTGCAAAATAAATTATATTGCAAATCACAAAGTGATTTTAGTAAACATGCTAAGCACCGAATAATCGAAATATTTTGTCTTTAAAGTGTATAGGTATAAACATGGAACTTGTGGCCAAAGAAAAAAAAAGAAAATTTTTTTTAATAATGTAAATGATGATTTCTATTAAACAAATTATTATTCAAATAAATATTATAAAAATAAATATTATATAAATAAATATTATACTTTCATAATTTATTCAAACATAATATTAAAAAAAATCTTTTTATCAGAAACTACTTACATAACTAATAGTTAATAATTATTTACTTTCATAATTACTTTCATATAAAGGGATCAAAGTTTTGAATAATTTTTCACATAATTTTTTTTGGTAAATAAATTTCAGAACTGCTGTGCATGATGCAATAGTTAATCTTCAAGTTGAGATGCTTCGCCAAATGGAAATACAAAAGGTAAGTTAATTCTAAATTTAATTTTTTAGTTAAGTGTTAATAATAATGCTAATAGTTCAATACCTCAGCATTTTGGCAATCTGAAAAAGACATACAGCAAACAGTCAAATATAATTGACTTTTTTTCACAATGCTTTATACCAAAAAGTTTTTTTTTTTTTTTTTTTTTTTTTTTTTTTTTTTTTTTTTTTTTTTTTGCAAAAAAACCTTTTTCATTCCATTATAAAAAATATCAACAGAATATCAAGAATATCAAGAAATGAAATGATATTTAACAATATTATTAAGCTCCACCAACAACCTAAAATTTTCACTTTCTTGGAAATTATTGAAGTAATTGAAACTTTTACAAAGGTGTTTGAGCCAGAGGATTTTGATCAATTCATAATCACTAAAACTAGATGGTGTTTCAGGAACTGTTTGATTACGCTACATTTTGGCTGCTCCCTTAATGCTTATTTACAATAGAAGCTTTGCTCAACTTGATTTTCCACTTTTCTGGAAAAAAATAATTTCAGTTACAAAAAGTAACAGTGAACCCTATTTGGCTGATTGACAGAGCTGGAAAAGAAAGTTACGTTTAAGCAAAAATTTATACCTGTCATCTGGAACAGATTCAATTCTTTTTGATTTGCTTATGTGTCTGGTCCTAATAATAGCACAACTAATGCTCTAAAATTGATGGTTGCTTGCAACAGAAAGTTGGTTTTACAATTTAATTTAACATTTTAAAATTTACAAGTTACCAACTTGTATATAACTTGTAAATATTGATTGCAATGACATGGATAACTCACAGGAATTTTTTTTTTTTTTTTTATTTTTTAATGTTAATTCACCTCCCCATAGTGAGATATTAGGAAAGGTATTAGGAATATAAACACACTTGAAACTACTTTCAAACAATATAAATACATGATAAGTACCTTAATTAAGCTTAGTAAAAAAATGCATTTTAAAAAGTTCTTTACAGAAAATCTAAAAAATCACTTATCTCCTAACTGTTTACAAGATAATGAAACATATATAACTGAACCAAATCATATCTCTAGAAAGTTCAACACTTTTTTCATAAATGTTGCATAAAAACTTAAATCCAATATTCATTCATCTTACATATAATCTCTATCAATATTCCTAAAGTTTCATCTCTTATATCTAATTTGAAGCACAATATTCTTATCGATTTTAACAATGAATTTTCAAATATTCCTTCTAAGCTATTTAATATATCATTCATAAATAAAACTTTTCTGAATGTTTTAAAATTATCTTGTGTTATTCCAATATTTAAAAAGGGCTCTAAACTTTTATGTACTAACTGCAGACCTATTTCTCTTTTATCTAACATTAGTAAGCTTTTTATACATTCTAAAGTGTACTAATACATTCTAAAGTGTACTCTTTTCTTAATTATTTTAACTGTTTAAATGAATTTCAATTTGTTTTTTGTTCAGAACATTCTACCTGCCATTAATAAGTATAACTGAAAAAATCAGATAAGCTCTTGACACTGGTCATTTTGTTTGTGGTATTTTTATAAATTTATAAAAAGCATTTGATACCATTTGTTATAACATTTTAATTTCCAAATTAGAATATTATGGTATTCGTGGTGTTGTAAGTGACTGGTTTTGATCTTATCTTCCAAATCGGAAACAATAAATTATAAAAACGTATTCTATAAGGTATTGTTCACTGGCTAAATGCTAATATGTCTTAATGCTAAATAAACTTAACTAATCTTTTTTTCATATTCTAGAAAAAAACAAAATTTCTAAAATTCAAATAAAATTTAATAATAAACAGTTATATCCTACAAAAGTTATCAAATATCCGGTGTTTTGATTCACTGCAATTTTTCGTGGAATTTTCATATTGATGAGCGACGCAAGAAACTCGAGCGGCATACTTTTTATAACTCGTCATTATGTTGATAAATTCACGCTAAAGAACATTTACTATGCATTATTTTTATCACATCTTAGTTACTATTGTCAAATTTGGGGTCAAAATGGCAACTATCACATCAAGCAATTGATGTTCTCTCAACGTCAGTCCATAAGAATTATTTCCAATCTTTTAATTCAAAAACATCAGAATCTTTCAAAAAACTAAAAATTCCAACTTTTTCAGCACCTTGTAACATTTGCTAATCTTTTTTTTGTTTTTGACTCTCTTAATAAAAATTTACCTTCTTCTTTAACTGACTTTTTTACAGAAAGTAGAAGAATGCATACATACTTTACTAGAAGCATATATAATGGAAAACTTAGTGTACCATCTTTTAAAACTCAGAAATATGGTAAACATTCTGTTGTCTATCATTGCATTTGTGAATGGAACAAGAGTCTTGTATGCATAGTGAATGAGTTCAAAAAACTACAACTTCAAACACCTTTATCGTCTTTTCTTAATCTTAAACAAAATCTTAAACAAAATCCTAATTTAAAAATTCTGAGAACAATTTTGTTCTAATTTATTGACATGATTTTCACTTAATATTTAAAATATACTCTTATTTTTCTAATTATGATTGCTACAACTTCTTGTTGTTTTTTTTTATTATTATCATCAAAGTACGATTTTTAAATGTTTACTCAGTTTAAGTATGTTCTATGTGTGTATGCCTAATATTAATCATGTTATATTTAAAAACTGGTGTCACTCCTTCAATCAGAATTCTGTTTGAGTGGCACCATCCTTATGAATCATTTAGTTATTATTAAATTCTTATAAATTATTTACTCATTATTAAATTATTTTATATTATTATATATATATATATATATATATATATATATATATATATATATATATATATATATATATATATATTTATATATATATACATATATATATATATATATATATATATATATATATATATATATATATATAATTATTTGGTTTCTCAATTAATTGGTTTCTCCATCTATGGGTCTAATAGTTGACCAATAGTTGTTGTCAGCAGTAAGTTCAAAATCCAGTTTTTACTCAAAGCCCTTTGAGTGATATTAAAAAATGACTTTAAGTGGGGCATTTGCTTTAAAGACATCCACTAGAAATGCTGAACTGGAATGTCGGTTTTCCATTTCCTCCCCTTTCATATTTCCTCCCCTTTCATATTTCCTCTCATTGCATAGTTCCTTCCCTTTCATATTTCCTCTTCTTTCATATTTCCTCCGTTTTCATATTTCCTCTCCTTTCATATTTCCTCCCCTGTTTTAATGTTATTATACAATAAAATGAAGTGATCTTTACTTATATTTATTATCATATTATTATAAAAAAATACTAATTAGCAACACAGTTTTTTTTAGTGCATCTTACTGTACATTTAGTGCATCTTAGTGTACTTTTAGTGCACAATGAGTGCACCATGGCAATACATCTTTTCTGCTTACCATTTTTTCTTTATACACAGAAATTTCCTACTAGTGTTGTTGTTTCATAAACTTTTATTTTATTTCATTTTATTTTACTGTTAAATATAATTAGTTATACAATATATTATATAGTTATAAAATGTAATAACAAACATTTATATAATATTTAATAAGCTAGTTTTTATATTATATACATTTAAATAATATTATATAAGCTAATTTTTATATTATATAAATGTATAATTTACTTGTTTATTTTGGAAAAAACAGAAATATTTGATTATTCATTAGAATTAAGTAAAAAAAAAAAACGACAGTAAAATCGTCAATGCAAGAAATATATTATCAACATAATATTGTTGAACATAATATTGTTAACATTCATTAAACAAAAATTAATTTGTTAAATAAAAATTTGAATTTAGCTTTGACTGGTCAATTTTATTTGCTATTCATTAATATTCCAAAGATTAAATTCGAATTTTTTAATTGTCTTTAAAGTAAAATAATTTTAATTATAAACATTTCACAGGTTTTCAGTATCTTTGATTAAGACCAAAAATAAATTATCTGGAGATATATGAGCTCTTACTGTTTGTAGGCTCTTATATGAACTCTTATCTTTTGCAGGCTTATTTTAAAACAAATTTTTTTCTAAAACAAAACTTTTCTACATTCTAATATAGAATTGTTTTGCTTTAGAAAAAATGATTTGTACACTAGTGGCCATAGTATTGGATACCCCTTCAAAATATATGAAAACTTCACTTTGGTGTGTTTTTAAAAGAAAATAACAATATTTATGCGGTTTTCTATATTGATTATTATTTTTTGATGTGTTTAGATTTAAAAAAAACTAAAAATTTAATTAAAATTCACAATTTTAATATAAAAATATAACAATTTAATGAATAAGTGGCAAGTTATGGTAAATTTACATTTTACAGCTTACAAAACATGTTATTAAAAAAATGGCTTATAAAAAAAAAACTTAATATTTTGTTGGATATCCATTTTTTTTATTACTGCAGCAATCCTACAATGCATTGAGTCCACTAAATTGCCCAAATCTTCGGTGCTGATCACGTGATACAAGGGCTTGATTATGGCCTCTATTAATTATCGTTTGTTCACAGGTTTTCTATCCGATTCAGGTCCGGCTGTTTCCAGGCCACTTCAAAACGTTTATCTTTTTGGCTTTAAACCAATTTTTGACATTTTTTACGGTGTGGCATGTAGTACTGTCCTGCTGGAACACACAGGATTCTGTTTTGCCCTCAAATAAATCATCAATCGATGGGAGTAATTTGGCTTCTAATATGTTTTCTTGGTATTTTTTGGCGTTTAAAATACCATCCACAATGTGGATGCGACCCACAGCATCTCTAGTAATGCATTCCCACACCCTTACACTTATGAGATGCTTCATTGTAACCAATGTGCACTCAAGTAAAAGATTTTCACTGGGCCTTCTTCTCACATAATTGATTCAATCACTTCCGAAAATGGAAATCTTGCTTTCATCACTCCAGATAATTCTTGCCCAGTCTTCCTTTGTCCTTGCCCAAATCAAAAGGTTTTTTTTGTTGTTTTTTGTTTAAATATGGTTTTTTTCTGGGTCTTCTTGCTTTTAAACCATTTTCAAAAAGCCTTTAGCAAATTGTTCTTGAACTAACCGAAACTCCTCTAAATCGTTTTTAATTTCAGCTGAAGTTGCTCTTCGGTTCTTAAGTGCAAGCCTCATTATTAACATGTCATCTTTGGCAGTTGTCTTCTTAATTTTTCCATTTTTTGGCATATTTTTGAAGGTATTGGTTGGCTTTAATCTTTCGCACACCTTCCTCACTTTAGATTTTGTCACTCCATTTCCCAACTTTTTGGCTGTTTCCATATACAAATAACCTTCTCCACGTAATGTAACAGCTTTGCATCGCTTTGTAGGTGACCAATATCCTTTCGCCATTGTAAATAAAAGTACAATTTTAAAAAACACACTGAATCTTTAAGAGCATTGTCGACTTTTCACCAGCAATTGTTGAAACTCAACTAAATGAATAGCTTCAAAAATTTATGGATAAAAATGTTAATTAATAACGTAATTAACTATTAGTCATCACAATAAACAGACTAATTTTCACAAAAGCACAAAAATAATGAGACATTCACCTTTTACTAGAGAAACCCATTAGCAGAGCAATGACTTATTTTTGACACCAACTAACAATAATAATCCATAATTATGTTTAAAATTGATATAAACGAATAAAATTTGCCATTTCCTATAAGCCAAATAATAGATGACGTGGTTTAAATATAAAAATAAATAATTAAATCCACCAAATGTATGATATGTCAACTTTTCTAAGAAAAATGGTAAAAATTACAGGGGTGTCCATTTCAATGGCCACAAGTGTATAAGTATAAATCAACATCAACATTCTCTAATGTTTGAAAAAGATAACTTTCAGACATGGAGCAAAATTCAAACTTGGGTATGTCTATGCTTATATTAAATGAGAATGCTTCACAAAAATTACATTGATTGGAGGTCAGGAACATCACTAAAATCCGGAAGGCAGTAGTTTACCGAGTTAGATATTATTACTTTCCTGAACTAAATTTATATTCATTAATGATTTGAAATTTTTGATTAATAGATTAAAGTTTTATAAACTTTAAATGGTCGTAACTTTTGAACGCTAAAACATTATAAGATGAAATTTGAAATCACTTAATAAATATAAGTTCAGTTTAGAACACTGATAATATAAACTTCAGTAAATTATTACCCTCACATTAAGAATTAAGAGGGCCACAGTTTTTGAGTTTTTTGTTGTTCCCAGCTTTAAATCACTGCCATTTTTTGCAATTTATTTTAATTTGATATAAGTTCAAGTTTAAAGTATGTTTGAAAGTATGTTTTACATGGCAATTGGTGCATATGAACTAAAAAACCCTTAAGTAATCCTCATAATAACTAATTGGCCAAAAGAAATTATTTTTGTAAAAAACAATATCTTAAATTGGATTAAAAATTTTTTAAGTTATCGAATTTCATCAAAATCTTTTATTCGTGCTCAAATGACATGGGCAAATAGTTTTGAATTTTTTCGTTTTCAGAGCATTTTTATAGTTTAAAAAAAAACTGTCAAATTTTTCCACGATTATAATCTTATGCTAAGTAGAAAAAGTGGTTTAAAAAAATTGAAAAAATAACTTTAAATTAAAATCTCTGAAAAAGTAGAAAACTATTATTTTTTAAGATTTATTACGATATTACACAGTGTATATTATCTTATTAGTGTAATTTATATTATACACGGTGTATATTATATGTATTATTTATTATCTTTTCTTTTTTTTTTGCAGGAACAAATACGTCAAATGATACTAAATCATTCGGTAAATGAAGATCTGGTCTCTGAAGTTAACAGATTACGAGCAGAAAACGAAAGACTACGTTTAAAGTATTAAACAAATGTTAGATAGTTTTTTGATATTTTCAAGAAGATCATGGAAAGGTCATTGTCAATAGATGGTCGTGGATTCAAGAAGTTTTTGATATTTTAAGTTTCAAGAAATTTCTTTACAATTAGATGCGAATTATTTTCGAATAATTTATAATTATTTGCATATTATTTTTGTAATATAAAACTATATTTTGAAATTTGCACCCTTCAATTTGCTAGATTTTTTTTTTGTTTCACAAGTTTTCTAAGTTTAAATGTAAAATTATCTTAAACAATAACTTCCTTTTATCCTCTCTTGTTTAACGAAAATTATGCTTAAAAAGCTTATGCTACGCAACATATGGTGTATTCTAGGTGTAATAAATCCGGTGTTAATTTTTAGCTTTTTTATTCGTATTTTTAAGTGTTTACCTCTATTACACGTTACACTGCACCAACTTATATGTCAATTTAAATATTGATCAAATAATGATTATAAAATGACCTTAAAGGGAATGGGTTTAAACAAAATAATGTGAATATAAAAATTCTAAAAAACTTTGCTTACTTTTGTAACTGTCGGTTACTAAATGTTGCTCGCCCTCACACACAAATGTCACTCCCCTAACTCGCTATGTTTTGAAGTACAGGGTTATTCATTCTTATATGCGCGTCTATTCATTTTTATATGCGTGTTTATTCATTCTTATTAACGTATTTATTCTTGTATGCCTTTTAAAAACTGTTTTAAGTTGAAAAAAGCACTGTCGTTAAGTTAATTAAAAGAATTCGACAACATGTCTGCATTCAAGTCGTTTTCTGATTTAAAAAAAACGAGATAAAAGACCAATGAACGCTCAAATAAAAAGAATTATTGAGTTATGCGTACAAAAACACAATCTTGGTACGCAAGAAGCAATAAAAGAAATCTTTCTGCAGCAGGCTTCAACATGTCTCAGCCTACTATTTCAAGAAAACTCAAACACTCGGATTTATCAAGAAAAAGTGTTGTGCATGTGCCAGAAGAACGAAACTCAACACATTTTGCACTTTCATTACTACAATGTTAGTACCAGCGATTAGGAATGCAGATGTGAAAGCGCCGGTGCTTGTTATGGACAGTTGTAAATTTGATTGGAATCTTTCTGTTAGCGAAACACTAGCCTCTCATGGCACAGCTATTAAGTATCTACCAGCATACACGCCACAGCTTAATCCAATAGAAGAATTTTTTTCTTCTTTAAAGCATACTTACAAACATAGAGAAAGACCTCAAAATGGTTGGGGTAATCAGGAAACTTAAAAATATTATGGATACGACTGAGTTAAAATTGATTCTATTTTACAAACATATGTGTAGTTACATTAATCCAGCGCTGGCTCGGCAACCATTTTTTAAATAAATAGCAGTGGCAACAACCCAATTTATATTTTAAAATATCTATATAAAAACATAAAAGCTTATTTATTGTTTATAATAAAATTATATAAGAGATTTTATAGGTAGTTGACTCGCATTTAAACGCGCATATAATCAGATAAGTTAAAAAGCAAGAAAAAATTTGCATTTTTGAAAATCCTGATGTATTAAACAAAACAATTTCTAAAAGTTTCAAGTTGCTCTAAGAATAGTGCAGAGCGTTTTGAAAAGATTTAATTACACTTGTGCAAGGATGTTAAAGAAAAAAGTTTTTGTTTGACGAGATTTTGTTAAAAATTTAAAAGATATCTCAATCCGATATCTTTTAAATTTTAAAAAGATATTAGAAATCCGAAGACTTCTGTTCGAACTTTAGCAAATAAATTCAGGACAAGTGCTTCCACTAAACAAAGAGTGAAGAGGAATTGTGGCTATAAATCTTGTAAAAAGAAAAAGGTCCTCGTTGTGAAAAAAAGCAAGAAAATTTTTCAATTTGTTGTTCAAAGCTGCAAAATAAATATGATGAAACTTATTATACTGCGTATTTCCGATCTCCTCCTGCGTATTTCCGATCTCTTCTTGCGTATTCCCGATCTCTTCCTGCGTATTTCTGATCTCTTCCAGGACTTCAATATTATTCAGCAATTAATTGTAAGAATTCCAAATAAAAATGTATTTAAATGGAATGGAAAATTGTTAAAAAATTTTAGTTTGGTTAGCAATTTGTAAATATGGTGAAAGAACCTCTTGTTTTGTAACTACAGGAAAAATTAAAACCGAAATATACATTAAAAAATGCCTCATGTCACTCCTCTGGTACAACTTTAAACTTTGGCTTTTAGAACATAAAGTAGATTTCGTTGAAAAAAACCGCAATCCATCAAATTGTCCCAGACTACATCCTATCAAAAGATATTTGGCTATCGTCGAAGAAAAAAAATAAAGTTTAATGTAACAAAAGCTAAAAACATCCGAGGCTTCAATAACAAACAGATAGGAGATTCAAAGAAAATCAAAAAAAAAGAGAATGGTAACTTCAAAAGATTGTGATAAGTTCAAAAGCAGAAATAGAGGAAAATTTCAACCAGTTTTTTCATATTTTTTACGTGCATATATTTCTGCTTTTATTCTTATAGAGATAACAAAATCACATTGATCGTTTGTTTGTTGATTAGAAATAACAGCTGCACAATAAAAAAATCTTGGTGTAAAATTAACTAGAAATTGGAAAAGAATAAAAGCTTCCATACTTGATTATCAATAGTGAGACAAATATCTAAATCTTTATCACTATGGCAAAGGACATTACAAAAAGAATCTCAGCCTTAAGATAATAGTAAAAGGTGTAAGTTGTTCAGCCTATCTGATTAACTATTTGAAGATAGTAGAGGTTCTTCAATATCAAATAAGAATGCTTTTAAAAAAATTGCAATGATTGGAGGCTGAAAACATAAAATCCCTAAAGTTTTTGCCCCCCTGCCCGAAACGTGAGAGCAACAAGTTGACGAAATATTTTTTGTACTATTCTCAACTAGATTTATATTCATCAATAAATTTTAAGTTTCATAGTATTATCTCTCAGCGTTCAAAAATTATGACCATATAAAGTTTAAACTCCCTCAATTTGAGGGGGTTGCAAATTTTATATGGTTATAATTTTTGAACGCTGAGAGATAATACTATGAAACTTAAAATTTATTGATGAATATAAGTCTAGTTGAGAGTAGTACAAAAAATATTTCATCAACTTGTTGCTCTCACGTTTGGGGCAGGGCATACAAAAATTTTGGGGCTTTTTTGTTTCCAGCCTCCAATCATCGCAATTTTTTGTAAAGCATCCTTATTTGTCATTAAAAAAAACATATAAATGTTTTGAGTTTGCTCCATTTCTGGAAGTTAGCTATCTCAAAGAGCAAAAAATGCTAGATCCGCCCCTGCCTTAAACAGACTTTTTAAAACGTGGCAAGAACGTGTAAACGTGACACAGAATTTGGCCAAAAAAAACGTTTTCCTATAAAATAGATTTACGCATACTTAACTCTACGCAGTGCAAACAACAATTACTCTGCAAAAAATTCGTATAGAGGTGCAGAAGGTGATCAAACCTACACTTTCTTATTTTAAGGTAACACTCTTTTACAAACTCTGAGTTAATGGAACGGAATCAGCTTTAAAATGAATAAAACACAAAATTTTTGCAATATTAAAAAACACAATTAAAATATTATTTGTTATATCAAATCAAAGGAGAAATAAAAATTATTAAAATAAATAAAAATTAAATTTTTATCAACGATAAAAAAAGTTAATAAAATGATATAATTATCTGTTAAGAATTCACATCTTTATTTTCTCCACAAAGCGCAATCAATTTCGGACGATATTGAAATGTTAATTCATGATTTAACTCAATCAATAAAGAGAAATATGTAGGTACATTATTAATAGACTTTTTGAAAACTTTTGATAGTGTTCCACATCAAAAACTTTAATAAGAAACAAATAAAACAAGAAAAACATGAAACTAGAAAAATCATTCAAATTATTAGATGTTGGTTTAGATCAAGATCTTACATTAAAGCAAACAAATAGACTCAATCATAAAAAAATTGAAACTCAAGTTTGAGAAGAGTATTGTGTGCTCCACCTAATCTACAATCTAACCTCTTAAATTAATCAACAGTGGACTAGATAAAATCCAGAAAAATTTTTTGAGGAAATCCCACAACCGTCTATAAATTCCTATGCAGCAGCACTTACTGATTGTTTTAAATTATGGTCACACAGCTCTAGTTTAAAATCAATAAGATATCAACAAATAACTGCAAAAATTAAAAAAAAAAAAAACCATTGAGAATATGTCATTCTTCAATACCTGGTATGCTCGACACTGATGGTAACATTTTGGATAAAAAGCTCATCAAAATTAAGATTTATACTAAAATATTTTACGATATATTATACTAAAATATATTATATCGTAATATATTTTATACTACAGTATGTTTAGTATAAAATATTTTATATATTATATAAAATAAATTATACTAAAATATTTATGCGTATCACTGACTGTATTTTGGTTAACCACTTTTGACTGTATATAAAAATGAAATAGATTTTATTTAACCATTTAAAAAGGTAATCGATGATAAGTCTTCATAGACTTCTACGAGTTTTCTTTTACAACAACATGTATATATCTGAAGTAACAAAGATTTCTTGTCTTTTTTTTTTTCCAAATACTGGTCATTTTTTATGTTAACTTTTATGATAAACATTATTATTTTACGTTAAACTTAGTTAAACTTGTTAAACCGCGTTTTATTATATTACTTTATACGTGGTATATAATGTAAATTTATTAAAGTTGAAAAAAAAAAAGACTTTTTTTATCTATTTACCAGATTCTGCAATGATGGCTTACGTTATACCATCAAACTAAAAAAAAAAAAAAAAAAATAACAAGAGTTCTGGTTGAGAAACAAGTCCGAAGTTTGACACCTGCTCTAGCCCAGCGCTCTAGGAGCACCTCAATAACCACACACACACACACACACACACACACACACACACACACACACACACTAGCCCAGAGCTCTGGGAGCACCTCAATAACCACACACACTCACACAAAAGGCGCAACGAAACCAAAGAACATTACAAGATCAGAAACAACAACACATAAAGAATTTAAGAAAACAGTTCAGCTAAGTAGAAGGATAACATTAAAACGTTTTTATGACATCGGTGTCCTGCTGTACTATCAAGTATAAAAAGTAAATAAATATATAAATCTAACTATGACGCCCGTAAGACGTCAAATTGATATCTTCTCGCTGGGTTCACTTCTGTCAGTAGCCATATTTTAAACGGTACAAACATTTACCTAAGTTTAATATTTTATATTTAAATAAACTTTTTTTTACCTTTTAGTTTGTAAAATTCTTAACAATTCTTTATTTTATATTTATATTTTAATAAATTAATTACTACTTTTCTACAGCATTCTTTTTTTTAAGTCTTGAGCTCAATTTTTATTCCAGTAATTCATAACTTATTTCTAAAAGAAAATTTTATCTTTGGTTTCATTCCAAGTTTTTTTGACACTTTTTTGTAAACGTCAGTTTTTACATTGCTTCTCCTCGGTCAGTCTTCAAACTTGCTACACATTTTGTTTTTATTTTCCATTAAAATATTTTCGTTTTTTACACGCTTGTTGTTTTGTTAGTTAATATTTGTAATTTTTTTAAATCAAAATTTTCATTATGAAAATCTTTTTATAGTATCTTTATTTTGCACTTCAAATATTTGTTGTTGTTTCCGAATTGCTTTCGTATTTTTTTTTTTTTTGTTTTTTTTTTTTTGTTTCCTGTTTGCTCTTGTTTCACCATTGTTTTCATTTACGAGCTTTTCTTAAGTAGAAAAAAAAAATTGTAACACTTTTTAAATTTCAGAAGTGTAAAGGTTATTTACAACTTTAACTCAAATTTCATTGAAAATAAAATTTATTTTATTTGAATATTTTATCGGGAGAGGAAGGAAAAAGTAATTACATGAGCAAATCCCCGTTTGAGATGATGTCACACAGTTGTCAAAAACTGTTTCGAATGTGTGTACATAATTATTTTCAAGAAACCATTTTTTATCTGGTTTAAGCATGCAATTTGGCGCTTGTTTTTTTTTTAAGTAAAAGATAATGTGATATTTTTATTTAACAATTAAGAAAAAAGTAAGCAGTTATAATTAGAAATTATAAATCATTATGCGGTTATAAATAACTTGTCATTGCTTTTATTTAGTGTTGATTTCCTTAGGAATTTATAATAAAGAAAACTTGTATTTATAAAATTTTTACAAAAATTGTGTGCACGTTGTTTTTATAAAAGTGCAATTTTTAAAAATTATTTAAGTTTAGTTTATAAAAATTATTTAAATATTTATATAAGTTGAATAATAATGACGTACAATAATGACGTACAATAATGACGTACAATAAGTTTTTTAACTTTTGTTTTCATATCTATCTATCCTATCTATATCTATCTCACTATCTATCTATATACCTCTCTCTCTCTCTCTCTCTCTCTCTCTCTCTCTCTCTCTGTCTATATATATATATATATATATATATATATATATATATATATATATATATATATATTTAAAAATATTAGAATCATGTGGTTGCAATGCTTCTTTTTTATTTAGGTTCTTTCCAAAAATTGATAACTATCTATATCGAGTATTGGTTTATATATATATAAACCAATACTCGATATAGATAGTTATCAATTTTTGGAAAGAACCTAAATAAAAAAAGAAGCATCGCAACCACATGATTCTAATATTTAAAAAAATCAACTAATCAAATAAGAATCAAAATATACATCATATTCTACGTTTGTGATTTTGTTTTAAATAAAGCAAAGCTTGAAAACATTTTCAAATGGTTTTGTAAGACAACATAAATGCAGTGAACGTCGATAGTGTTAACTTCTACTAGTAATAAACTGGCACACAATAAAGTGGTATTTGAAAAATAACGCAGCATGCATGTTCAAGAAACTGAATTTAACTCAGACAATTTTTTCGTTAAAAATCCAACAAGTAAGTCATTTTAATTTTTAAACATATATTTTCGTTGTTGAAGTGAACATTTTAGTTCTTGATAGAAAACCTATTAATTAAAAATTTAAAAAAGTAATATATAAATAGTTTCTTTTCAAACTTTTGAGTAGTTTATCAAATTATCCACGCATCCCCGCCTTCTTTACGCATAGGCAAAAACACATAGACACACAGACACATGCACCCACGCATAAATAAATTGCATTTAAATTTAACTTTTTTAAATACGCATTAGGTCGTCAAAAATCGTATCCATTATTAAATACAGTGATACCAGAAAAAAATGCTGCACCTAGGGTAATTTTGTTGCTAAGACAATTTTTTTTGCTTCATTAAACTATGTTTATGAAGCAAAAATTTTATTTTTGTTTTTTATTTATTGAAATATAGTTGTATTTTTATTACTTGAACTTCCAAAAATATGCTTTTATACAATTATAAAATATAATTTAATTAATATTGTTTATTACCTTTTAAATTTTTCGATTACTATTTTGATTAGATGATGCGACCTTCTTATTTTCGAAGTAAATCTAGTATCGCAAAATATTCTTTTGCGTCGAAAATTTCTGACGGTTTTACATTTACCGTAAAAAAAGAGAATAACCAAGATAAAGACTCAACAGAAAAAAAACGTGGTCTTCATGATTTAAAGTTGCCGTTCATAGACAAAAATAATATTCAATGTTCTGTTGGATCAGAAATATGCTCAACTAATTCATTTAATCAATATTTTAAATCGAAGGCATGTCGAAGAAAAAAGATTGAGCAAAAGAGTAGTTGTCCAACAGATTCTTTTAGTTTAGAAACTCAGTCAAATGGTTCTGAACAGCTTTCACCCTTTTCCAAATATCATTCAAATCAATTTGAAACAGACATTTGTGATTCTTTACCAATGCAGGTTTTTGTGTTTTGAGCTAAGCTTAAATAAACAGTTCTTTTATATATATATACATATATATATATATATATATATATATATATATATATATATATATATATATATATATATATATATATATATATATATATATATATATATATATATATATATATATATATAAATATATATATATATATATATATATATATATATATATATAAATATATATATATATATAAATATATATATATATATATATATATATATATATATATATATATATATATATATATATTTAACTTTTTTTTTTTACGTCATTGCATTATTTTACGATGTTATACCAATGATTATTCTTTTTTTAAGGTTGACACTTCAGGAAGTCTTATTACAAAATATGACGTTCCGTGTCCTTTGTTTCAAGTAGAAATACTTAAAAGTATAATAAATGATGCAGTAGAAGAATACAAGTGTGTAAAGTATTTTATTTGTGCATTATAGACTAAAGAAATTGAGTTTAGAATATCAAATAAATAATAATACTTTGTTGCGCATAATTTATACCTTAGTTATGTGTACCTCTAGGTTCGCAGTGCACGATGCAATTGTAAATCTTCAAATTGAGATGATTCGTCAATTGGAAATGCAAAAGGTTTTATTTTTAAAATTATAATTCACAGTTTCTAAATAGTTTTTGATAAAGGCCTAATGATGAAATATGAACCTAATTGTGCAATAAATGACCAGGTAATAAAAATAAAATCTGTTAGTTACAGAGCACCGCGGAAGTGCATTTAACCAGGAAGTTCGCGCCTCCTTCCTTACCATGTATTTATATTTTTTGGTCATGGTGTAGTGGTTAGACCGCTTGCTATATAAGCATGAGGTCCAGGTTCAAAACGAACTCTGGATATATTTTCACATCAAGGTAAAGAAGTAGGCGTGAACTTCCTGGTTAAATGCACTTCCACGGTGCTCTGTGACAAGACCGTTAGGTCTTCTTGGGGCACCTAAATAACAAATAAAAAAAATAAAAAAATAGTAATCAGAAAAATGTTAAAGGTGTAATGATCATTACTATTATGTAAAAAAAAAAAAAAAGAAAACCTCAGGAATTTTTTTAAATATTAATCATAACTCTAATTTTTTAAATAAAAGAATAAGGCAATCTCATTTTTTATAAAATTGCTTACATTTTTTTAACAATATATAAAATATATATTGTTATAAATTTGCCTATAAAATATGGAAACAAAAACAAAACAAAAGTACCAAATTTAAAGAAAAAAAAGTTCAAAAATTGTTTAAAAAAAAATAACTTAAACATAAAAAAATAACAAAAGACTATTATTATAATTATTATTTTTTCTAGATTTCTGACACTTTATTTATTTAAATAAAGAATTAAACAAAAATCATTAAATAAATGCATTTTTTTTTTGCTATAAGTCTTTTATCTGCACCTTTTCAAGATGTAATTGAAAACTGGAAAATTGTAATTAAGAGATGTATGATGTAATCGAGAAAGATAAAAGTTGTAATTGAGAAACGTAAGATGTAAATTAAAAGATGAAAGTTTTAAATGAAGTACAAGATGAAAATATTCATTAAGAAATGTAGATAATTTATAAAATAAAAATAAGAAATCATAAGATGTTATTGAGACATAATAGTTGAAAAAGAAAAGTTTATAATATAAGTTCTCAGAACAAAGTTCTTTATTTATAATTTTGTTGCCTTGATTTACCTAATAATTTAAGATTATATCCTAATTTGGCCAAGGCCATATGGGTTTATATATGGGCCAAGGCCATATGGTTTGATATGCCTATAAAATCGTCTATTAAATTTTAAAAAACTACAATTAAAGTGATTTTTATTTAACTATGTGTTTAACTTATAAAAACATTTTTAAGAAAATTTTATAATTCGCATTGGAGAAGCCGTGGCGCAGTGATAGCGTACTTGCCTCAGAAACAAAGGATCCGTGGTTCGAACCTCACCTCTGGGAAGTTTTGTGACATCGGTTAGGAAGGAGGCGTGAACCTCCCATTAAATGCTTATCCGCGGTGCTCTATAATACCGTAAAGACATCTTGGGGCACCTAAATAAAAATAAATAAATAATCTCTATTAGATTGATGAGTCTCAATCATCATTGATCATTCATTAAATTAATGAGTTAAAATAAAATCAGTTTAAAACCGCTTTGCTTTTTTTCATAAACGATAAAACCGGGGATTCTAAATAAATATCATTTTGAGCGCCTAAATTGATACTAATGAATATCATTTTTATAAAATTGTATCCAAATTCCAAGTTTTTTTTTTCAAAATAAATTTGTATTTTAAGAGTCAAAATTGTTACTTATGATAGCGGTTTTACTACCGTGCTCTAAATAAAAAAAAAATCTTGATCAAACCAACGCCCAGTGGGTCAGAATAGTAAATATCAACTAATTTTGGCAATCAAATTTAATCAAAATCAAAACTAATTTTGACAATCAACTATTTTTGGCAAGAATACTAAAATGAAGTCTGGACTTCTTGTGAAGGTGGCATTTTTTTCTTTTGCTAATATGGATTTGACTAAATAATTAACTTGCAGTTTTTTATTATTGCTAGAAAACCTCATTAACTTTAAAAATAAGATAAATGTTTACCAAATTTTAAATTGGTGGTCGTTGTAATATATCAAGTTTACACTTATTTTTCATAATTGTATTTAACATTTGTGCTTATAGGGAATAGTTTATGAGTTTTGATTAAAAATTGGCTACAAAAGAGTTGTTGCTATACAAAATAAGGAATTCATTACATTCTAAAAAAATGTTTCTACCTTAGTGAAGAATTTGTGGTATACCCTTAGTAAAGTATAATTTTATACCTTCTAAAGTAGAAAATTGCACCTTTAATGAAGAAAATTGTATGACAAATTATTATTTTTGATATAATTTTCTTCCTCAGAAGATATAAAGTTATACCTTACTAAGCTTAGTAAAATATAATTTATTGTAAGGGTTGGATATGTGATACACCCTTATAAGGTGTGTGTGTATGTGTGTTTGAAGTCCTTACTGTACTTTCATAAACAATTTCGCTTATTGGGCTAGAGCCGGCGTCAAACCTAGGAATTATTGGTTCTGAGCCAGAGATCCAACCACTGCATCACGGCTTTTATAAACAGCCCGATCACGTGACCATATGATAAATTTATAAATTTTATCTTATAATTTTATTAAAAATTTTTTTAGTTACAAACTGAAAATCCATGCAGGCAATAAATCATTATAATAAAAAAAAAATAGAGATAAATTGCTTCGTGTTTTGCAATTACTCAGGGTTTTTAAAAAGTTCGACACCCTGTCCCATCTTTCCCTATATATCATTTTTTCAGTTAAAATAGCTGAACTGATCTTTTTATTCTGGTAAATTTTAAACTTTAATATAAAATAAACTTTATATAAAAGGGGGTTTCAAAATGCTTTATTTTTCATATTATAATATATACAATATGAAAAAAAAACATTTTGAAACCCCCTCCCCCTTGAAATAAAAACCTGCGCCGCAAATCTTGATTATAGATTATGGTAAGTATACACCATTAAAATAGGTATTTCAAACAAATGCATGAAATTTTTACATATTTATTTTACATAGATATATGCATTATGTATGCTGTATAATTAAAGGTCATTTTAAAAACAACAAAGCAATTAATACGCTTCTAAACCTAAGTTAATGTAAAAATATATAAATCAGCGTGCTATAGTTTTAATTTACTTATATCACGCTGAAATAGTTATTTTATTTATTGATAACATATTTAAAAATAAAATATTTAAAACATATTCAATTTTCCGTGCGTGATTTTTGGAAATGTTTTTTTTGCAGGCCCGTCCCAAAGAGATTTTAAAGGCGGGGTGACGTATCTGACTAAGGCCTAGAAAAAATGTTTTGCCAACCTAGATCAAAAAAAAAAAAAGGTTCTTTTTGGCTAAAATTTTCCGAGTGCCAAAAAAACAGATCCGATTTTTCTTATTCCTGAAAATTAGTTGATATATGTACACTTACATAATACATTTACGTCCTAAAAATAACCATAAACGTTTCTGTTTTTCATTAAAAAAAAGTCTGCTTAAACTAAAATCTTGCGTTTATGATAAAGAAGACATTATAAAAAAGCAAACAAAGCAAATATTGTTAAAACTTATATTGTACAAAGGAATGCGACTTGAACACCTAGTACTTTTTTTAACATTTGGTTAAAAAAACAAAAAAAAAAACAGATGTCAATCACAATAACGTTGTAAAAGTTATATCCAGGTGTAAAAATTTACATCAAGATGTAAACATTTATATCAAGATGAGAAGTTTAGATCAAGGTGTAAAAGTTTTCATCAAGATGTAAACATTTACATCAAGATGAGAAGTTTAGATCAAGGTGTAAAATTTTACATCAAGATGTAAACATTTACATCAAGATGAGAAGTTTAGATCAAGGTGTAAAAGTTTTCAACAAGATGTAAACATTTATATTTAGATGAGAAGTTTAGATCGAGGTGTAAAAATTTACATCAAGATGTAAAAAATTATATGAAGTTGTAAAAAGTTACAAAATCACGATTTAACTGAAAAAATAAATTAATATCTTTTTGATTCTGTCTGATTATAATCTATAAACATTAAAAGAAACAAATATTTAGTGAAGTATATGGGTTTATAAAGTATATTTATGTAAAGTATGTTTTAAAAAACAAAAATTTATGTTGAATATTATAATTTTAATGAATTATAGGAACAAATACGTCAAACGATACAACATCAGACAGTTAATAAAGATCTGGTCTCTGAAGTTAACAGATTACGAATAGAGAATGAACAGTTGCGTTTAACGTACAAATAGAAAAACTCAAACAAAGAACTTCGATCCACATAAATGTTTAATTGTAAATTTCTTTTTAAATTTAGATGTAAATTTCTCTCTACTAATTCAAAATAAAGCTTTTTTTATCATTAGATATGACTGCGGTTGTGATGCGGTGGTGGTAATGTAAAAATTTAATCTTAATTAGTAACTTAATTAGAAGTTCAGGGAGATTTTATTTTACGGTCTTTTTATTTTAAGACTTTACGCGCATATTTTTATTTTAAGACTTTACTGGACAATTTTCCTTCAATAAATATAAAAATCCCAACTTACAAACTTATTTCCCAAAATTAAATACTGAAATACATAACCATTACAGAGATGTTAAAAATCTCTTTTTATTAAATTAAACGCAAAACAGTTATAAAATACAAGCTTTAGTGAGTTGAACTTTTGACATTTTGACTTGTATTTTTTTCTATGGTCTTTGGCAACAAGTGTTATATTTTACCTCAGATCTTCATTTGTAGATACCTTCACGTAGTCATGTATAAACTTGATGTTTATTTTAACACAGTCTTTAGTAGAAGAGAGATTTTTAATAAATAAACAGAGCTTACAAAAACTTTCAGTATTTTCCCAAGATTTTACTATACCGTAAACCTATTATTTAATTTTGCATTTTGAAACTCTAGTAACTTCAAAAAGATACCAAGACTCTGGACCAACCAGAACAGATAGTGTTGTTTCAAAATCAAAAACTGGAATATTTTGAGGAATCTGGAACGTAAGAGTAGGAAATTTAAGTAGTTTGGTAATTAAGTAGGTTATTAATCTTTTTTTTCATTGTCTTCAACGTCATAATCTCCAATTGCTAACACAACAAGGTGAGGAGTTAGGTACCAAGAGTGCCATTTTATACTCTTTGTTAAAAACTGTCCTAACTAATCATCGTATTGATCTTGTACTTTAAGACTTGCCATGAAAGCATCAAAGTCATTCTTTGTTGCTTTTAAAGACAGAGCTTTTTAAAAACCATGGTGCATGAAAAATGGCGGTAAAATAAACTTTCTTTCTGTACCTTATTTTCTTCTTTTTCTGTCATTATTTTAACAACATTTTTTGTCATTTCCAATCTGGGTTGGCAAAAACCCGGGTTTTTGAGCAAAAGCACAACCCAACTGGGTTTTTGGGTAGATTTTTGGGTGGGTTTTTGGGTTTTTACTTAAAGTTTGGTATAAATCTTTAGTAACAAAGATCGATAAGTTTTTAGTTATTTAAAAGCTATTTTTCATTTTTTTAAGTTATATTGTTTTATACAAAAGCTTAATTAATAATCAGATTTTTTTAAAAAATTTTGCATTTTTTTAAATATAAAGCTATTTTAAAATTGAGTTATCTTTCTCTTTTCAAATTTAAGATATAAGTAGATTATAGGTCTTCATTTGATATTAACACGTCAAAGTAAGGCAAACATCCATTTCTAAATTTGTTGCTACAACAAAAAGCAATCAGAAGAATGAACTGGGTTTGCAAGTTGCAAGGTTTCTTTTTCAATAAATATACCATATAACATAGTAGAAATTTTTGACTTGACTAACAAGCTGCCTAAAATATTTAGATCTGAGTGCGAGTCCCCAAATAGAAATCTTCAGAACTCTTAGTAAAGGTATATGAAGAAGTAATTAATATAAAGAAAGATGATCTTAATGATGATTGTGATGTTACCCTAATTCAAGATGATTGGAGTACAGTAATGATTTCATAATTGCTCATAGTATGCAAGACGATACGAAGATGATATTTTAAAGAAGTTTTCAAAAAGCAATAGTTTCATATCATTTTCTGGCCAATTTAATAGATCCAAAATATAACTAAAAATAATAAAGGTAACTAGTAATTTGTAAAAAAAAATTAAAAACTTTCATCTGATCAAATTTAAAAAAATAATTTTCTTTTAAGTTAACTACTTTTATAACTTATTTATTTAGAAAAAATATTGGATAGAAGTCAAGAAGAAAAAGCTGAGGAATAGTTGAATGAAGGCTATCCTGAATTTATACTAGGCTACTAAACATTTAAACTAAAAAAAGATTTGTTACCCAACATATTTATTCAATGATAGTGTAAAAAGTACAAAATCAGGAACAAATTGGTGGAGAATTATAGAAATAAAAAAAAGTTTTCCTAATTGCCTGCAAGTTTTGCAAGATTATAACGACAACTGCGCATTTGTCCAGCTAGTCTATTTAAAGACTAAAACTTTCTCATCCTTTAGCATTATTTGAAGCAAAATGAGGAATCTTCTAGAAAGAAAAAAAGCAAAAATGCTTTAACGAATTTACATACATTAAAGTTGAAATGCACAATTGCTGATGACTGAATTGTTAAATAACTTTGTTTTAAGCCTTTAAGTTTAAATATTTCTGCTCCAAATAAAGTAAATCTTCATTCATGAACTTTTTATTTTTAGAACAATTTTGAGCAGCATCAAATCTTGAGTGTGAATGGAAATTAATTTCTAAATAAAATAATAACAAATATAAAATTTAAGACCAAAAATCCATTAAGTTGGGTTTTTGGTGGGTTTTTGCTCTTGGGTTTTTGGGTGGGTATTTGGGTGGGTTTTTAAGTTTGGGTTTTTGGGTGCCAATCCTCTTTTCAATAAAAGGAGGTAAAGTTTGTCTCTAGTAAACGTGCCTCATGACAAGCGCCAGGTTAGTGAAATTTAAAAATAGTTACATTTACATCAAGATAAAAAACAACAAGATGGCAAAGGTTCACCTATTGCAAAAGTATTTTTTACCAGAGCTTAAGAACAGAAAGTAAGGGCATCTTTTGCAAGTGTGTGCAACACTGAATCAACTTCTAGATAATTCATTTTTGCAATATTATTTAAGGTGTTTACATCTATACATCTATACAAACTTCGTTCCACTTATTTTTTAACTTTAAAAAATAATTCTCTATGAGGTCTTTTTGTCTTTCCTGTTAGAACGTCCATGGAGTGATATATATGCACCTCATATACATGATGGTTGCATAGAAACAAAATTAAATGGAGATTAAGCTTTACAATCAGCAGGTAAACTGCTTCTGCATAATTCCCTGTGATACTACTTGTTGCATTACAGCAGCAAGCAAACAGTTTAGTAATACACTCGTAAATTTTAATAATTTTATTAGCTCTATTGCCTGGCATGCTCCTTTTTTAGTTGGACAAACCCAAGCAATATATAGTCGCAATTTGGAGCAACTGGAGAACTAACACTCACAGCCAATCTGTCATAAACAATAGATATTTTAAGATCTTTTGAAATGTTTTAGTTAATTTTAATTAATTTTTTAAACTTGTTTAGTGTCAAAATGTAGAACTAGTCTTTTACCTCTTAGTAAATCAGTTATTTACTTTTTTAGAAGGTCCCCTGTTAATTGAATTGCCTGAAGTTGAAGTTGTATTATTATATCCACAATTGATTTTGCTTCAATAAGCTCATCAGGAGTAAGCTCTATGATATTTAAAAGTTTTGAAATATCATAGAGCTTACTCCTCTATTAATAACTATGTTATCGATAAATAGAAAAGGTAAGTTGCTAGACAGCTGGTGCTTTTTACCATAAGGATGAAAAAGAATCCATTTAGTTTTATCAATATTTAGTGAGAGTTTGTTTAATCTAAACCATTCAGAAATTTTGACTAGTTCAATGTTTATATTGCTAAAAAGTTCAATGTTCATACTGCTAAAAACTAGTTCAATGTTCATATTACTAAAAAATTTACAATTAAAGTTTAAAATTTTATGTACAAAATTGATACATTAATATCATGGCTTCCTTGAACTATATGAATCTTTTTTTATTTGTTTTTGTTTTTCTATAATTAGAAATCTGAATCTTCTCTTTTCTTTTACTCTGTAAGCTGAATCATCTTTTTTCTCAATTAACATTTTCCTTTCCTTCATTTTCAACTACTTCTAGATCATCATTAAATGTTTATATTTTCTGCTCAAAATTTTTGAAATATTTAAAAGATTATTTAGTTCGAACTTAAATTCTTCGAATGTTATGTTTTGTATTATCTTTAAACTCAAATGATTTCATTTTTAGCATTTTAGTGTATTCTTAATGAACTTTTTTAATTTGTCACAAAGTAAATATTAATAACAATTATTTTATTGATAACAGTTATAATAAGGTTAACAAAAAACGAACTGAAAAAATATTCATTATTTTAAAGGTTACTGGTTAACTTGAGCTCCCTTTTGAATGTAACCTCCAATGCCTTCTTAGATCCATACAGAAATAATAATGGCACCAACATAATTAATCCTAAAATTATTAACACTAACTCCTTCAAAACACACAAATTCAAATCCAAGACGTTTTTGTGGACAAGAAACTTTAATGACCTGCTTTTTTCAGAGTTAAAGAATAGGTAATATTTTAACACATTTCCTACAGAAGGCAGTTGGTTTGTTGGCAATTCGTTTATAGTATAATTAAGAAGGTAAACAGTTAAAACAATAAAAAATGATATTATGAGCACTTTAACAAGCAAAAATTTCACAAAAATTTGTAAACTAGTAAAACCTTAAAAAAAAAGCATTTCGTTTAAGATGTTCTTATGAATAAATATCATTGAGTATGACAAAAGACTTTTATAACAATTATTGTATCTTTTGTCATCAGCAAATAAATTTAGATTAAGAATTAAACTTCCACGAAATAACTCTAAACTTCCAAGAAACAAACGTAATGGAAAAGTTAGCATAAGTTAAAAAATGGGTATAGTCTTTTTTTTCTTTTTTTTGGGACACTCTAGTGGTGGTAGGTTGTTGTATTTTATATAATTATAGCATCAGTATGATTTTGTGACGAGTAGACAAAGAGAAAAAAATGACGAATATAGAGTAGAAAAGAAAATTGTAGAAATTTTGCTTTTAAATTTTTCTTTTTTATTGTAATTTTTAAAAAATTACAACACTTTTGTTGTAATTTTTCTAATGGGTTTTAATTATGTTAATATTATATTAACGTTAAGGTGGTAAACCTAATTATTAATGGGTAGACCTAAAATTAATATATAATAATAACGTTAACAAAGCGGTAGCAACAGGTTAAAAATAGTTAACA